TTTGTGGAGACGTCTCGAGGCGCTGTTTCAAATGCAACCGACACAGCGAGAGAGACAGAGAGAGAGAGAGAGAGAGAGAGACAGAGGGAGAGAGAAAGACACAGGGAGACTGAAAGCGCCTTGGGACGTTCTCCCGACGTGAACGGCGCTGCATCAACTGCAACCGACACAGCGAGAGACAGAAAGAGACAGCGAGAGAGACAGAGAGAGAGAGAGATGGAGATTGAAAGCGCCTTGGGACGTCCTCCCGCCGTGAAAGGCGCTGTGAAAATGTAACTTGTTGTCGTTGTTGAAAGAGCGAGAGGAATCGTGAGATGGAGACGGAGAGAGATTGTAAATCGAGAGAGGGGAGAGACACTGAGACAGACAAGAGTGAAAGAGGGGGAGAGGGGGGTAGTGGCAGAGAGAGGAAGAGTTGAGAGGGAGACAGAGGGAGATTGATATAGAGACAAGCGGAGAGACAGTGAGAGAGAGAGAAAGAGAGGTAGGTGTGTGTGGGGGAGGGAGAGATAGTAAAAGAGAGAAATATCTTGAGAGAGAGATAGTGAGTGAGAAAGAGAGATATTGAGAGGGATTACGAGAGAGAAAGAGAGAGATATAGGGACAAGTGTACATTTATATTTTGGTTTATGTTTGTTCCAGGTTTTCAAGCTCTCTCACCTGTCAGATACCTGAGATACAGATAACTATCAACTTTGCACCAGTTCCCCCATCTCTCTCTCTCTCTCTCTCTCTCGAATAGATTGAGCAACACACTTTTCCTGGAGTCCCTGTAGCTCAGCGGTTAGAGCCCTCGCCTCGCGAGCCACAGGACCCGGGTTTGATTCCCGGGCAGGTCAGGTCGGGGCGAAACCTTGGGCAAGTTTCTTTACTCTCCACACACACACGCACACACACACTCACCCACGCGCGCCTCTGTTGACCCAGCCGTAAGTAGGAACCCGCTTGTTAGTCGATTGGTGGATCGCTTTCGGGGGGTGATAATCCCTCCAAAAAAATAAATAATTGGGTCACTCAATCCAGGACGGTTTGTGGGGGACGCTGCTGTGCGCAATTGGCTGCCGCATTACCGCCCACAGCACCTTATCGTGTCGTCGAGACGTCTCAAAGCGCTTCATACAAGTTAATTGACTGTGTCTTTTGTGGGCGAAACGCGGAAGCCAATTGCGCCCAGCAGCGTCCCCCACAAACAGTCGTGGATTGAGTGACCCAATTTTTTTTGAGGGATTATTATCCCCAGGAAAGCGATCCGCTAATCGAGTAACAACTGGGTTCCTACTTACTGCCTGGTCAACAGAGGCGCGCGTGTGTGAGTGTATGTGTGTGTGTGTGTGTGTGTGTGTGTGTGGAGTAAGAAAACTTGCCTAAGGCTTCGCCCCGACCTGATCCGCCCGGGGATCGAGCCCGTGTCCTCTCTCTTGCGAGGAGAGCGCTCTGGAGAGCGGTAGAGAATATCGACAGCTGCGCTGGTTAATGCTGAGCAGATGTTTACTTGACGTCCACGATGTAACAATTAATAAACAGTTAGCTGTTTCCGGAGTTTAATTGCTCGATTCCCCAGATTCCAAAGACCCCCACCGTGGGCTGAATGGATCGAGCGTTCCCAGCTTCCTCGGAGTGGGAGCAGCTGGGAAAGTATGGAGTCCTGTAACGTGGTGGTTAGAGCCCTCGCCTCGCAAGCGAGAGGATGCGGGTTCGATTCCCGGGTGGGACAGGACAGGGCGAAACCTTGGGCAAGTTTCCTCACTCCCCACACACACAGACACACACAGGCGCCTCTGTTTACCAGCAGTAAGTAGGAACACGGTTGTTAATCGATTAGCGGATCGCTTTCCGGGGGGTAATAATCCTTCCTTTGGTGGGGACGATGCTGTGCTTAATTGTCTGCCGCGTTTCGCCCACACAATATACGGTCACTACACGTTGCAATATACCCGCGAAACACTTTGAGACGTCTCAACACAGTGATAAGACTCGATATCAAACAGCCGGGTATTCTATTCACAACGACAAATGCCATTTCCACGGAGCCTTTCACATCAGGAGGACGTCCCAAGGAACTGGACAGTCAGGGTTCCCCACCCGAGCTGCTGGGGGGGGGAGGGGGTGGACGGGGGGGGAGTTGGGATCAGGAGGGGTTGGTGGAGGGCAGGGAAAGGAGGGAAGGGGTTGGGAGGGCGAACGAAGGCGTGGTCAAAGTGGAGGGTCTTGAGACGGGTCTTGAAGGAGGCGAGGGATGGGGGTGGGTGGGGGGTGGGGGGTGGGCTAGGGGGGTTGGAACTGTGGGATGGAGTCCCAAACGGTGCAAAGTGAGTGACGTTGCTTGGGGAGGTGAGGGAGGGGAGGTTGCAAAGAGATAAAACATAACAAAAGGAAAGTCTAGCAAACTCCAGCTGAAGACCACACATGTGATAAGGACCGCAGTTGAGTTCTGCGCGGGTTGATGTGTCTCTTACCAGAGTATGGGACTGATTAGGGCTGGCCCGCAGCCAATGTAAACTGCAGGAAAAATACCGTCAGTGAAACAGCCAGGCAAAAATCATTAGCAGCCCCCTTTTGTTTCCTTTGAACCTGGGAATCGTCTCAGATTTATAGCACAAAGCCACGGGGAGTGTGGGCGATCGAGTGCTGGAAGCTTTACAGATCTTTTCCCTGCTCGGCAATAAACATGATAGCTGGTTGTGTGTGTGTGCGTGTGGGTCGGTGTCTCTGTGTGTGTATGTGCGTGTGTGTGGGTCGGTGTGTATGTGTGTGTGTCGGTGCCTATTGTGTGTGTGTGTCGGCATCTGAGTGTGTGTGTGTTGATGTCTGTGTATGTGTCGGTGTCTGTGTGTGTGTGTGTCGGTGTCCGTGTGTGTGGGTGTCTGTGTGTCTCTGTATCGGCATCTGTGTGTGTGTCGGTGTCTGTGTGTGTGTCGGTGTCTGTGTGTGTCGATGTCTGTGTGTGTGTGTGTTGGTGTCCGTGTGTGTGGGTGTCTGTGTGTCTCTGTATCGGCATCTGTGTGTGTGTCGGTGTCTGTGTGTGTGGGTGTCCGTGTGTGTATGTGTGTGTGCGTGTTGGTGTCCGTGTGTGTGTCAGTGTCTGTGTGTCGGTGCGTGTGTTAGCCTGGCACTCTCGTCTCTCAGCCCCAAGTTCGAGCCCACATATCGAGTCTCGGAATCATATAATCTGAGGTGACTCTCCAGTGCAGTGTTGGGGTGGTTTGGGGGGGGGGTGGGGGGGGGCGGTGCGTGGGGGGATTTCTTTGTTGGAGACGTCGGCCATCGATTGAGATGTGAAACCTCACTCCTGGCCAACAATCCTCCCCGGATAAAATTGGCCACTCAATCCACGGCTATTTGTGGAACACAACTGTGCGCTATTTGGGGCTGCCACGTTTCTCCCACAAAATACACCGAACAGTCGCCCCACTTTACAGCGTATCCTGGAAGCCCTTTTGAGACGTCTCGATGACGTAATAAGGCGCTGTGTCAAATGCGAGGGTCACTGTTGCTCACTGGGCCAGGCTGACGGACTCCTTAAGCACTATATCAAATGCAAGGATTATTATCATTATAATAATATTTACGTGAGATCGAGATGGAATTAGACCTGTGTATGTTAACGCACTGCGCGTTAAGCACGCGCAAACGCCCGTGTGGACAGAACCGTGTGTTATCTGCGCACACCAGTACCGTCTCTCTCATACACACAGCCCGACCCATTCCTCAGGACTGTCTCTGAACCCTTCACAAGGAGCCATTATACAGTAACTCAAACAACATGAGGTCTGTCGTGTCACCTTCCCACACGCTCGGAGCAAGCGTGTGAGCGGGGTGGGGGGGCAGTGAGGTGAGAAGAGAGAGAGAGAGGGGGAGGGAGAGAGGGTGAAGAGAAAGCCTGGGGGAGATGCTATCATACTTAATAGCCACCGTTAATGGTTTTAATACCTTTTCAAGCTGCTTCTTGTGTTTAACAACCGCCAAATGAGGACAGCAGGGCCCACATCTGTTATTGACACAAGAGACATTTGGAGATGGGTCTTCAAACAGCGACCCCCACCCCCACCATCACCTGTCCCTGACGAGACGCCGGGGGGAAGGGGGTTGCGGAGTTGGACGAAGGCTTGTTTGTTTTCGTTCCTCTGCTTTTGGATGAGTTTGTGGAATGTGGGAGGGAGGGAGGGAGGGAGGGAGGCGGTGGAGAGGAGGGGGCGAGGTGGGGGTTGAGTTAGAGATGTACAAAACCTTAGGCAAGGATAGTCGATAGGCGGATCGCTTTCTGAGTGTAATAATTCCCCTCCCCACCCCCTCCCCGCACACGCAAAAAAACATGTGGTCACTCACTCAGTCCACGGCTGTTTGTGTAGGACGCTGCCATGGGCAATTGGCTGCCGCGTTTCGCCTGCAACATATACAGTCACTTCACTCTACAGTGTATTCTGTGAAGCGCTTTGAGATGTCTGGGAGACGTGATGAGGCGCTGGGTCAAATGCAAGGATGCAACCAAGAGGGAGGGGTGTGTAAGAGAGAGAGAGACAAATAGCGGAGGTATTAAGAGGTGAGATGCGATGGAGAGACTGGACTGGAATGTTTATAGGCTGCCCTTAGCATCTGTTTAACCTGAGCAAAACAATGGAAGCTTTTCAGTAGAGATGGACACTTGGCCAAGTGGGAGAGGTGACGTTTGAGGCGGGGTGTGGTGTTTGGGTGGGGGGGGCTTGGGGAGGTCGGAGAGAGGGTTTGCGAGGAAGAGGGGGGGTGTGTGGGTTGGAGAGTTGACTTGACGTCTTAGGACAGACTCCATTGAAAGATCGTTTTCAAATGGCAGGGTTTAATGAGGGGGTTAGTGGAAATCTGGAACTCTCGCCCTTCCCCCCCAAAAAAAGCTGTGGATTATGGCTGATCCATTCACATTGTCAAGACTGAGGTGGAGAGATGTTTGTTAGGTCGGGGGCTCGAGGGACACGGAGCACAGGATAACACAGTGACTCCTGACCTCTCCGTTTGCCACCCCACAGGTCTTGACAGCGTTGGACTATGAGCGTGTGTGATGGAAGCCCGTCTCTACCCTGTGACCATCTCTGAGGGCAGAACACGAGAGGAGCAGGGCAACAAGGGAGACCCACTGACCAACAACCCCCTTCGCGGTAAGCTGACCTTCCTCAGACTCCCTAAGTCGACTGTCGGATCATTTTCCGTGAGTCAATAATACCTCCCCTCCTCCCCGCGGATTTTTCACGGAAAGGCTTTCACGGAACCCCCTCTCTCTCTCTTTCTCCCCCAAAAGGCTGTGGATTATGGCTGGACCCATTCACATTCTCAAGACTGAGGTGGAGAGATAATAATAATAATAATAATATTCCTTGCATTTGGCATAGCGCCTTATCACGTATTCAAGACGTCTCAAAGCGCTTCACGGGATTACGCTGTAAAGTGAAACGACCGTATGTGTTGTGGGCGAAACTCGGCAGCCAACTGCTCACAGCAGAGTCCCCACAAACAGCCGTGGATTGAGCGACCACATTATTATTATTATTATTTTTCGAAGGAGGGATTATTACTCCCCCGGGAAAGCGATCCACCAATCGACTAACAAATGGGCTCCTACTTACTGCTGGGTAAACAGAGGCCTGTGTGTGTAAGGAAACTTGCCTAACGTTTCGCCCTGTCTTGTCCCGGCTGGGAATCGAACCCTCGAATGCGAAGCGAGTGTTCCAACCGCGGAGCGACAGGGACTCCGCTAATCTGTTGAGATCACTGGCTATGAGACCACCCACCCACCTGCTGCCTCCGACCTCCAGACATTCAGGCCTGTCGGCCGGTGTCAAGGTCTCAATCCCTTCCCTCGGTACCTCCCCGATCAGGCCTGACATTCCTGAGCAGCCTGACCTCTTGGTTTCTCCTCTCCTCCCCGGGGAACCGTCGTGTTTAACAGGTTTGGTGGCTTCACAAGGCCCCAGGTCTCTGTTTTGCAACCGCAGAACAGCCCGAGTGCGGCTGACATGGCCTCAAATCGAGGCTTATGTCCCATCGTCACAGTAATAATCCTCGCATTTCGTACGGCGCATTATCATGTCGTTGAGATGTCCCAAAGCGCTTCACAGCCTAGACTGTTAAGGGTAGTGACTGTGCATCTTGTTGGCAAAATGCGACAGCCGATGGTTCACAGCAGGGTTCCCCCCCACACACAGTCGTGGATTAAGTGACCAAATGATTATAATAAAAAAAATTTTTGGAAGGGATTATTGTCCCCCGGAAAGCGATACCCCAATCGACTAACAACCGGGTTCCTACTTACTGCCCGGTGTGTGTGTGTGTGTGTGGAGGAAGGAAACTTGCCTAAGGTTTCGTCCCACTTTCTGGAGTTAATAATCCCTTAAAATAATCCCTCAGTCGATGCACATGTGTTGGCGGGACGTCGCCGGGCGCAATTGGCTGCTGTGTTTCGCCCACAAAACACACAGTCACTGCACTTTACGGTGTGTCCTGCGAAGCGCTTTGGGACGTGTCGACGATGTGATGAGGCGCTGTATCGAATGCGAATGCCAGGATTATTATAAGTAGCCGCAAAGCTGCTGTAATGGAGTCCCACTTGTTCCTTATCCACTGTCTGTCGGGACCCTCTCCCCCAGTAATACGCTGTTTGCTCGGAGCTCTCTTGTACACACACAAACACACACTGATGAGAGTTTATTTACACCCAAAGTTACACAGTGGCTGCTGCAGTCTTGTGGCGGACTGGTGCCCACACTCTGGGTTAATCACACGCCATTACTTCTGTAAACATTTAGTCTCCAACGCTCTCATCTTAACAGAGCCCTTTGCAAACCAACCTAACCCTCTGCTCCCACCCCATCCCCTCACACACACACACACACACCACACACTCTCTCACACGCACACACACACACACACCACACACTCTCTCACACGCACACACACACACTGCTGTTCTCTGCCTCCGACGCACACAGACCCCGGCAGCAGATCGGGCTTTGTAGCGCAGGAGATCACTGCTCGAGTGGCTGGGGTCTGGCCTCTGTACAATGGGTTCCTTTTAACTCAAGGGCACAGACGGCAGAAACCACAAGTTTCTCTTCTCGATGGCCCTTCTCGCAGGAAAGCTCTACTGCTTTGCCAAAGAGAAAAGCGTTACAAAAGGGCCAGAGATTCCTGGGTTAAACATCGCCAGGATCTCAAGAGCGGCAGAGGATGATGATATGATAATAAGAATAATAAGAAGCCTTGGGTTTGATGTAGCGCCTTATCGTGTCATCGGAACGTCTCTCAGCGATTTTACTGTCAAGTGTTCTAACAATTTAGTCACTCTGTCCGCGGCTGTTTGTGGGGACGCTGCTGTGCGCAATTGGCTGTCGCGTTTCGCCCACGAAATACACAGTCGCACCACTTGCTAATGTATTCCGCAAAGCGCTTTGAGACACCTCAACGACGTGATGAGGAGCTCTTATCAGATGCAATGATTTATTATTATTATGATTATTATTGTTATTATGGTTATTATTAACTCGCCGGCTCCTCTCTCTCCAGTCTTTACAGTAAGCAGGAGGTAGGTGGTCTGAGCGAATTAGCGGTGGCTTTATCTGAGAAACACTGGCGGCAATTAAAGGATGAGAGAGAGAGAGAGAGAGAGCGAGGCAGAGAGAGAGTATCGCTCTGGGAGATGTGTCCTCGTTGACTGTCTTTAATGTTAGTCTCAATTACACTCGGACACTTGCGGCTGACTGTGTTGATACAAGACTATATGTATTGGCCCCAGAACGCGAGCCCCAAAAAAGTAAAGCAACAGGTGTGCGTGTGCGTGCGTGCGGTACATGCGCGCCTGTGTATGCGTGCGTGGGTGGGTGCGTTTGCGATACAAGGGGGTGGGGGGGGGGGGGGTCAGGAGAGGATACTTGAAATAACAACCACCACAACAACAACAACTTGCATTTACACGGCGCCAGTCACGTGGGCAGCATCTCGGAGCCTGACACCGCCCACAACATTTTACAGCCCGTCTCGATGACGTGATGAGGCGTTGGGTCAAACGTTATTATTATTGTTGTTATTATTATTGTTATTATTATTATTGATATCAATAGTATACCTTCTTACTTCAACCCCAGTCTCGCCCCCCCCCCCCTCTCTCTCTCTCTCTCTCTCTCTCTCTGTATGTGAAAGAGTTCCTCCTGAACAACAGACAGCCGTTTACCGCAGCGTCGGGAGGACACCCCGAGGCGTTGGACAGTCGGGGGGTGGGGGGGTTTGAACTCCCTGTTAGATCGGCTATAGTAGCCATTTGGTTGTGTGGTCTGTGCATCCAGACTAAAGCTTTCCTGCGAGAAGGGCCATCGAGAAGAGAAACTTGTGGTTTCTGCCGTCTGTGCCCTTGAGTTAAAAGGAACCCATTGTACAGAGGCCAGACCCCAGCCACTCGAGCAGTGATCTCCTGCGCTACAAAGCCCGATCTGCTGCCGGGGTCTGTGTGCGTCGGAGGCAGAGAACAGCAATGTGTGTGTGTGTGCGTGTGAGAGAGTGTGTGGTGTGTGTGTGTGCGTGTGAGAGAGTGTGTGGTGTGTGTGTGTGTGTGTGTGAGGGGATGGGGTGGGAGCAGAGGGTTAGGTTGGTTTGCAAAGGGCTCTGTTAAGATGAGAGCGTTGGAGACTAAATGTTTACAGAAGTAATGGCGTGTGATTAACCCAGAGTGTGGGCACCAGTCCGCCACAAGACTGCAGCAGCCACTGTGTAACTTTGGGTGTAAATAAACTCTCATCTGTGTGTGTGTTTGTGTGTGTACAAGAGAGCTCCGAGCAAACAGGGTATTACTGGGGGAGAGGGTCCCGACAGACAGTGGATAAGGAACAAGTGGGACTCCATTACAGCAGCTTTGCGGCTACTTATAATAATCCTGGCATTCGCATTCGGTACAGCGCCTCATCACATCGTCGAGACGTCCCAAAGCGCTTCGCAGGACACACCGTAAAGTGCAGTGACTGTGTGTTTTGTGGGCGAAACGCGGCCGCCAATTGCGCCCGGCGACGTCCCGCCAACAGCCGTGGATTGAAGGGACCAAATTATTTTTAAAGGAATTTTTTTCCCCCGTAAACTTGACTGTGGGCGGGGAGTGGCTGAACGCAGTGATCGAGTGAACAGCACTATCTGATGTACAGGAGGATCGCCCCCACCCCGCACTCATCTTCCCCCCCCCCTCCCCCCACACAGCCTGAGTCATTCCAAATTCTGGAAGTCCTCTAGTGTAGAGGTTAGCAGACTCGCCTCGCAAGTCAGAGGGACCTGGGTTCGATTCCTTCACCCTCCATGACCCCACCCTCTGGAACTCCATCCAACCTCGCCCTCCGCCTCGCCCCCACCCCCCCCCTTTCCTCCGTCCCTCGCCTCCTCCAATGCCCGTCTCAAGACCGTTCTCCCTCAACCGTGCCTTCGGTCGCCCTCCTTAACCCCACCCTCTCCGCCCTCCACCCCCTCCCTCCTGATCCCAAATCCCTGACTGTCCAGCCCCCCCGCGCCTTGGGACGTCCTCCCGATGCGAGAGGGGCGTAAATGTCATCTGCCGTTGTTGCTGTAGGGATCTGAGCTTCCCACCACCCCACCAACCCCCCCCCCACCCCTGCACAACCTCCCCCCACCCCCACACCAGCCCCAGAAAAGGGGAGGGGGTGGTGGGGGGAGGGGGGAGATGGAATCAGCGGCGAGTTTGATGACGTTTTAATGGGGACCACCCAACCACACCATTTTTTTTAACAAGGGTTTTTGTTACAAGTTACAGATGGAAAGGTTCACGGCAGCTCTTACAGGCAGCGGGTTTTATTTTTTTCTCGGCGGTGGTGGGAGGGGGAGAGAGGGAGGGAGGGAGGAGGGGGAAGTGTGGTGGTGGGGGGGGGGGGGGTGGAGAGAAGAAGCACAACACAATGCCCCATTCACCAACTTCCGTGGGGTCGCTGTAGGTAGGGGGGAGGGAGGGGGGAGGGCACACGAGAGGGGTTTTACTCCACTTGAATTAGTACTAAATTACAGCGGTCTCTTTGTTAATCTCCATAGGAGTCCGTTCCTTCTCCAATCTTTCCCGAGCAAAAAAAAAACACACGCTGCTTTCTGTTTTCGACCCTCCCTCCTTCTTCCCCCTCTCGCTCTCTCTCTCTCTCCTTCCCCTTTCCCATCCCCACCCCCCTCCTCTCTCCCAAAACACACAGTCACTCCACTTTACAGCGTATCCTGCGAAGGGCTCTGAGACGTCTCGACGACTTGGATCAGGCGCTGTGTCGAATGCCGGGATTATTATTGTTATTATTAGTGCCTTTCACGTCGGGAGGACATCCCAAAGCGCATCATACGATACACTGTGAAGTGCAGCGACTGTTTATTTTATTTATTATCAAAGGGAGGGGGAAAATGACGGATGGAAAAAATATTCCCCCCCCACCGCGATTTGCTGCACAGACGGGGAGAGAGAGAGAGAGAGAGAGAGAGCATTGAGAGATCTTGTTCCGTGACATTCCTGGAGACAAATTTTGGTGCTTGAAACGGGATTGAGGGACAGTGAACTGGGTCCTCATTACACGATCGCCTGTCAAGTGGTGCCGTCTGGCTCTGGCTTAGCTGTTGACTGCGTCCCATCACCAGTCTCCCCTCTCAGCGAGTGAGCTAACAACAACAACAACAACAATTTGCATTTACGCAGCTGGGTAGAGTCCCGGTGCTGGGGGACGGGACGGGAGGGAAGGCGGGAAGTGTCCGTAGAAAAGGTCTTCAGGCTCTTATACCGAATGCAAGGATTATTAATATAAGGCGCTGTAGCAAATGCAAGAATTATTATTATTATTATTATTATTATTATTTGGTGCTTTATCTCTCCCCCCTGCGCCCCCTAACTCAGAGCGGAGAGCGCGAGTCTTGTCTGTGTGTACAAGCACGGAGTGTGTATATACACACACACACACACACAACAGGCAGGCAATTCACTGAGCTTGGGGCAAACATTGCAGTTTAGTTAACGGATTCAGTGGGATTTAGCGACACAATGAGAGAGGAAATGATTGCGATGAGGCTGGGCTGGATTGGGTGATGTGTGCGCGACCGGCTGCCCGGGTTCGCCCACAATACGCAACACAGTCACTCCACTTTACGGCGTGTCCCGCGAAGCGCTTTGAGACACCGCGTCGACCTGGCGAGGCGCTGGGTCAGATGCAAGGATTATTATCATTATTATTATTGATTATTACCATTTATTGCTTGCAAACAACTGAGCCAGTACCTGTTCCCTTGTCATTGTAAGTAGGGCTGCCCCGATGGGCAAGGCAAATGCTGGTCACAAGGCAAGTCCGCTACCAGCCCCCACCTCCCACCCCCTCCACCCCCCCACCCTCTCTCTGCAGGGATAAGAGATGTCTAGATGCATGGCTGCTTCCATTGAGAGCTGGGCTGTGGCTTATTGTGTGGCTTTTGGGGGAGGGTGGGTGGATTGTGTGTGTGTGGGTTGGGGGGGTGGACGAGAAAGGAAAGACACATATACACACACACACACAGGTTTTAGAATAGCCCCTTTGGGTGAGCAGAGAGGAAGAAAAGAGGGAGGAGAGGGAGCGAGAGAGTGTGCGAGAGGCACAGTGAAAGAAAAGAGTGAGGGTAGTCAGCCAGAGTGAGAGAGAGAGAGAGAGTGAGAAAGGTTTGAAGAAGGTAGCATCAGCAATGGGAGAGAGAAAGAGATAGAGAGCTTTGCGGTGCTCTCTCTCTCTCTCTCTCTCGCTCTCTCTCTCCCGGGGATGGCTTTGTAATCGAGTCAGCCGATGGCTGACCCTGTGTGTAAAGCTATTTATTCTGCGTAAACTGTAATAATAAAAGGCACTTTGGGAGCGGGGGACGCGGTTGTCAAGCTGCGGACGTCGGCCTATTTGATGAAACCCTTTTTAACGCTCTGACCTGCCTTCCTACCCATGAAGGGGCTTGTGTCCTTTTCAACTGAATGAGTCGCTCCTTAGCTTTGCTTTGAGGTCTGAGATGAATGCTGATGATTTGGGCAAACTTCAGCCTCCTGTGTCTGTGTGTGTGTGTGGGGGGGACGGGGGGGGGGGGAGAGGGCTTCTTTGTGAATGCTTCCGACACTGGTGAGAGTAAGAGAGAGAGAGAGAGAGGACCACCCTTTCCCCCCTATCCCCCCCCCCCCCCCCACACACACGCAGCTTCTCCCTCCACCCGCCACATTACTGTTTGTTTAAAGATCTGCGCGTGTGTATGTCTCTGTGTGTATGTGTCTGTCTGAGTGTGTCTGTGTGTGTGTGTGTGTGTGTGTGTGTGTGTCAGTCTGTGTGTGTATCAGTGTCAGACTCCTTTTCATAGTTGATTCCCTTCAAATTAAAACCAAATTTGAGCAGAGGGCTCTTCTGTTTACCTACAGCGAGCATTTAATCGGGGGGGTGGTGGGGGGTAGGGGTCACACAGTGGAGGGGGGGGGGGGGGGAGAGAAAAATCACTTTGGAACTTGAACTCACATAGTCTGAGGCGATGCTCCAAAGCAGTGCTGTGGGGGGGGGGTGGGGGGTGTTGCATTGTCGGGAGTCACAGTCCTTCGGATGAGACGTTAAGATAAAACCCACTCCCCGTCTGTGCCTGGTTCAGGCAGACGGTAAAGGATCTCTCCCGCCACCCTGTTGGAAAAGAGAAGGGAGTTTATCTCTCGCTCTCTCTCCCGGTGTCCTGGCCGACAATTCCCCCCCTCGCCCCCCCCACCCCCCCTCCCCCGCCACCGCCAGATAAAATCGGCCGTTTGCTTCAAGGCTGTGACGACTCCGTCTGTGCCACACACCGCCGGCATCAGCCCGGACTGTGTCCTGACGTGGGGTGGCTTGAACCCACGAGGGCGGGAGGGAGGGAGGGAGGGAGCGCGACCACTGAGCCGGGCTGAGCCCCTGGGATCGGGGAATCCGGAGGGAAGATAATCCCGGGATAACTCAGATGGGAGCCTTTTGTGGAGCATCTCTTGTGTGTGTGTGTGTGTGTGGCTGTGCCTCAGGTGTGTGATGCTGGAGCCCTCTGGTGGAGAGGTGCGGGACCTGCATCGCCTTCAGGAGCCAAGCTTGAGGTTTCGTTGAGGGAGGGAGTGAGGGAGCGAGAGAGGGAAGGAGGGAGGGAGGGAGGGAGAGAGAGACAGTCGATGCCCCTTCGTAACAACCATTCTGCTGCCTGAGACTGGAGAGAGAGACAGCAAATCCCAGAGATGGATTGATGGGATGGAATGCTCTCTCTCTCTCTCTCCCTGGAGGGACGCCCCCCCCCCCCCCCGCTTACCTAATTCCAGAGAGTATTAGGCACAGGTTGGCCAGAGCCAAGGCTTTGGTGGGGTGGGGATGGGGGAGAGGGGGAACCCAGAGGGTGCGTTGGGGTGATTGCTGGAGTCTAAAACCCCTTCATAGAGGGGGCGGGGGGGGGGGGGGGGGGTGCTGGATTATTACCCACCGTTTTGAGGGTAATAATCCCTCCCCGCCTCCCCCACCACCCAAAAAAAAATGGTCACTCAATCCACGACTGTTCGTGCGACGCTGTTGTGCGCAATTGGCTGCCGCTGCGTTTTGCCCGGGAAGGCGCACAACCACTGCACTCACTTCGCGGCATATTCCGCGGAGCGCTGTCGACGCGCCTCGAAGACGCGAATGAGGCGCCGTATCGAGCGCGGAGGATTATTTATTGGCCCTGATATAAACGGGTTAAAAGCCGGATGCGCCCACGAGAGGCGGCGCGGAGGCGTTCAGATCAGCTCGGGTGGACGTCAACCCACTTGGGGAGAGTCACTCGGGGGGGAAAAGAACACCGTCAGGAGGCCTTCGCGATGGGACGATAAACCCCCGCGAGGTGTGTCCCCCCGACGGGAGAGTCGCACGACCCGACGTCCGCAATCGAACCAGAGAGCGACGAGAGCTTAGTTTCACCTTTTGGTCTGTCTGACGGATCGCTTTCCCTGGTGGTGAGGATCCCTTCCGAGAGATAAATTTGGTCACTTCAATTGGTGGGGGGGGTGGGGGCGGTGGTTTGTGGGGACGTCGGGTCCTTCGCCCGCAGAATACACGGTCACTGCTCCTGACAGTATCTTCCGATGAAGCGCTTTGAGACGTCTCGAAGCCCTGACACAGCGCGATATCAAAACGCGAGGATTATTATTATTATCGTCTCCCCTCCACCCCCACCCCCGCCACCCACCGCCCACCCCTGGCTACCCCCTTAGCTCGGGCGCAGACCCTGAACCGTCCAGCGCCTCAGGACGTCCGCCCGGCGTGAAAAGGTTCCCGTTTGGCGTTCGCCGCTGTTCGGTCCCTGTTGAGCCTCGGCCTCGCCTGCGCTCCGCAGCTCCCGTCGGCTCTGCACAGCTTTGCTTTGCTAACGGAGTCAGCGAGAGGCCAGGCCGCCATTTGCGACGATATTAGACATAAACAAGAGAGTTAACGAGCGAGGAAATCCAATGTAAATATTTATGCGCTCGGAGAGCCTGGCTTGCCCTGGTGATGCTGTGTTATGGCTGGGCTTTACGACACAGCCTGGGGAAGAAGACTGATTTTTTTCTGGTGGGCGTTGGGAGAAAGTTGGCTTGTTGACAGCGTCTCCAAACATGGCTCCTCTCTCTCTCTCTCTCTCTCTCTCCCTCTCTCTCTTCACTGGCATCTGTCTCACTGTTCGGTCCCTTTTCCACACCTCGGTCCGCCACTGCGCTCATCATCATCATCATCATCATCAGCGTAATAATAATCCTTGCATTTCATACAGCGCCACATCAGATGTTGTCGTTGTCTGCTGTCGATTTAGTTACCTGTGTGGCCTTGTCCTAACTCTTTCTCTCTCTCTCTCTCTCTCTCTCTCTTCCCCCTTCTCCCCCCTTTATCAGGCACCTGCCCAGGTTTCTCCGCCTTTCCCGCTCCGATGCCGGTGGAGACTCTGTACCATGAGGGACATTATTCGTACGACTCCAACCCTCACCACACCATCCGCGGGTAAGTCAGGGGGAGTGGGAGGTTTTTTGGGGGGAGGGTGGGAGGGTGGTACGTGCTTCCGTTCGTGGCTAAACATTCCCTGGATATCAAGACATTTCACCACTTCACCACACTTTACTGTGTATCCTGTGAAGCGCTTTGAGACGTCTCAACCACGTGATGTATCGAATGCCAGGATTATTATTATTATTATTACTAATAATACTATTAACTCTGGCTCTGTGCCCTTTAATGGATGCCTTCAGCGTCGCTTCCTCGGGGAACCTCGCTTACTCGGATCGACTTCTCCCAAGAATGTCTCCACATCAACACCAGCCCAGCGACGTACAGTCAGTGTTCAACAGCCCCCAACCCCCGCACAGCCACTGCATGGAGCCACATCTCAGGCCAGGACATGACCAGTGCCTCTCCTTCATAACCGCACCCAGGACAACAACAGAAGGTGAGTGACAAGCCTCACTCTTCTTCTTCTCCTTCTTCCTCCCTCACTCCCTCCTCTTTCCCCACCTGTGATGGTGTCAGGGAGACCGAGAGTGTTAAGAGGGAGTGTGAGAGAGGGGGCGCGTGAGAGAGTGTGTGAGAGTGCGTGAATGTGAGCAGAGGACACAGGTTTAAGATAATCGGCAAAAGAACCAGAGGGGAGACCAGACGAGGAGACATTTTGTTTTGCCCAGAGAGTTGCTACGGTCTGGAACGCACGGCCTGAAAGGCTGGTGGGAGCAGATCCGATGGTAGGTTTCAAAAGGGAATTGGATAGCGACTTGGAAAGGAAAGGAGAATTGTGCAGGGCTTTGGGGGTGAGAGCCGGAGGAGCGAGTGGGACGAGTTGGTGGCTCTTCCAAAGAGCCGGTCACAGGCCCGATGGGCTGAATAAAAAATAATAAAATCTCGGGACACAGGACTGCCAGGATTGGTGGAAGGCGAACTGGATGGACCTTGGTCTTCTTTCACCTTCCAGCAAATTTGTATGTTCTTATGAACAACAACAACTTGGGTTTATATAGCGCCCTCCACTCGGGACGGCGTCTCAGAGCGCTTCACGGTAACGGATCCCGGGGCTGAGCCCAGGGGGAGGGGGGGAGAAGAAGGTGACCAAAGGCGCGGTCGAAAAGAAAGGTCTTCAGCAGGGACCGGACAATAGGAAGAGAGGGAAGTGAGGTGAAGGGAGTGAGGAAGGCAGTTCCAGAGCCTCGGGGCGTAGTGGCTGAAGGCACGGCCGCCAAGGGTGGAGCGGAGGACTCGGGGGGCGAGGAGGAGGCCAGACCCGGAGGAACAAAGAACGTCCTCCTTCTGTGCTGCAAGAGTCTCGGGTATAGTGAATGAGCAATCGTTGGCCGTTATTCCCTTCTCTCTTGTCGAACAGTCCCACATTTCATTCTCTGACCGGTCAGTGTATGGTACGCATTTCCTCCCCCCCCATCTCTCCCCTCTCTCCCCCACCCAGTCCTGGGCTGCAGGTTCTCTACGCCCAGGAACGTGCTGAAGGTCAGTAAGAAGCGGGCGCTGTCTATCTCCCCGCTGTCAGACAGCAGCATCGACCTCCAGACCGTCATCAGGACGTCACCCAACTCCCTGGTCGCCTTCATCAACAACTCGCGCTGCAGCTCGGCAGCCAGTGGTTCCTACGGACACTTGTCTGTCTCGGCCATCAGGTCAGTGCCTCTATCTCTCTCTCTCCACCCCCCACCCGCCACCCCCGAGATTGAAATGTTCCCCTTTTATTTCTTCTCCTTGCCTCGACGACAACAAACACTGAGCACTTAACGTAGTCTCGTTCGGCGGTAAACAGGCGCTCGAACGCGTGTGTGCGCGTACGTGGAGTAAGGAAACTTGTCTTAAGGTTTTGCCCTGTCCTGTCCCGCCCGGGAATCGAAGCTGGGTCCCCTTCTTTTCGAGGGGAGGGCTCTAACCCCTGAGCTGCAGGAACTACGCGCACACGCACGCGCACTCACACACAGTGACACAGTGATTTGGTTGCTTGCAGCCCGGCCTGCGGATTTGCTCACACCATGTCGAACCCCGTCTCAAAACACCAGCCGTTCCTGATTCAGCAGCCGGGCGTGACATCCAGCATCGGGCACACGCAGCCACTCAGCCACCCCTCGCTGCTGTGTAGTACCCGGCAGCACCAGTTCGGCGGACCTGAGATGTTGGCATCTCCTCACCTCCACAGGACGCCCAAGCCTTGCCAGGTAAACCCAATGTCCACAGCCAGACGCCCTGGTCTCCCACATGCGCAAACTGAAGCCAACGGGATGGACACGAGCCTCAGCCAAGTCACGAGATGCCCTGTGAGTTTTGGGATCATAGGAACAGGAGGAGGCCATTTAGCCCCTCGAGCCTGTTCTGCCCTTCCATTAGATCACGGCTGATCTGTACCTCAACTCCAAATGAAAGAGGCGTAAAGCAAAGAACAACTTATATATATATATATTTATAGATATGTTGTGTTTTTGGGGTGTTCGACACGAGGAAACCCATCACCGTGGCTTAAGAGTATCCGAAACCAAACTGAGCGTTCCAGGCCTCCCACCTACACACACATGGAAATCCCAGAGAAATTGTTCGGATTGTCGGGATGGAATCCGCACTCTTCCAAAACTCCCCCACCCGACCACTGCGAATACCTTTTCGGGCTCATAAGGGATTTGATACAGATGAGTGTGAGGACCCTGCAAGCCTCGCGTGGAGCACAAACACCGCCACGGACCCAGAGATCGGACTGGTTTCCGTGCTGTTCATTCTAATGAAGCTGGTCTTGTCTCGACCCCCCCCCCCCCCCCCCACTCCCCAACACCACAGATGAAAGTGGAAGCGTCCGTCACCAGCACAATGGATCTATTGAACAACGGCAAGTGCCTCGAGGAGGGAGATGTGTCTAGTCCTGCCTCGACAGGAACGCAGGTAAACAGCCCCCACACCCTGGCCGCATCAGCCAAATAATATTAATAACCGTCGCTCCCATTTGACCCAGCGCCTCACCACGCCTCCGAGACGTCTCAAAGCGCTTCGCGGGGATACGCCGTAGAGTGCGGCGACTTGTGCATTTGGCGGGCGGAACGGGGCAGACGATTGCACCCGGCGCCGCCACCCCCTCTCCCCCAACCCCACAAACCGCTGCTGAGGATCGACTTGTTCATTCCCCGTCTGGAGCAGGATCATTTATTGGGGGCGATGGACGGAAGAGACGACCCGGACAAGGATGACGGAAAGCAGGAGCCGGAGATCGTCTACGAGACGAACTGTCACTGGGAGGGCTGCGCCAAGGAGTTCGACACTCAGGACCAACTTGTGCACGTAGGTCACAGTGTGGCACTGCCTCCCAAACTATTATTAATAATAACCCTCGCATTTGACGCAGCGCCCGATCACATTTTCGAGACGTCTCAAAGCGCCTCGCAGGACATACTGCAGAGTTAATTGACTGCATTTTGTGGGCGAAACGCGACAGCCAATTAATTAAACAGTCGTGGGATTGAGCGCCCAAATTATCATTATTATTATTATCATTTGAGTTTATTACCCCCGGAAAGCGATCTGGGTAAACACTTCCTCCTGGGTAAACAGAGGCGTGTGTGTGTGTTTGCGTGTGTGTGTGTGTGTGGGGGGGGGGGGGGGGTAAGGGGGTGGGAGTGGGGAGCAAGGAAACTTGAGTAAGGTATTGACTGACCCGCCGGGGAATCGAACTCGGGTCCTCTCGCTCGCTCGGCGAGTGCTCTAACCGCTACCCTGCAGGACTCCTCCACTCGTGGTAGCTCCGTGTCGACCGCAACTCCAACCTCAACTTTCCCTCCGACCCCCACCCCCCCACCCCCGGCCCCCGCAGCACATCAACAACGAGCACATCCACGGCGAGAAGAAGGAGTTCGTTTGCCACTGGAGGGACTGCTCGAGAGAGCAGAGGCCGTTCAAGGCCCAGTACATGTTGGTTGTCCACATGAGAAGACACACGGGGGAGAAGCCGCACAAGTGCACCGTGAGTCTCGAGGCCCGGATCGACCCTTCCCGCCCGCCCGTCACCTTCTTTCACTCGTGTGGCCACCCGAATCCACGCGCTTCTACTCTGCCCTTTCGGGTCACCCACTCACTCACAAAGCGCTTCGCAGGATTCGGTGTAAAGCCCTCGCATTTAATATTAATATTAATAATTATCGCCTCGTTGAGAGATCTCCCACAGCGTTTCACAGGCTACGTTATTGCCAAGTGGATTGACAGGGTTAAGAGCGGGGTGGGAGCGGGGGTGAGGCGGGGGCGATAGTGGGCGGCTCTTTCGAGGAGCCCGCACAGGCACGATGGGCCGAATGGCCTCCCTTTTTTTCCCCGCGCTCGTCAAGATCCTGCGATCCCACTGAAACAGCCGACCCCGTTGTTCCCAGTTTGAAGGCTGTAACAAGGCTTACTCCAGGCTGGAAAACCTGAAGACGCACCTGAGGTCCCACACGGGGGAGAAGCCGTACGTTTGCGAGCACGAGGGCTGCAACAAAGCCTTCTCGAACGCCTCCGACCGAGCCAAGCATCAGAACAGGACCCATTCCAACGAGGTAACAGCCTGGGGCCCGGCCACGGTGACTTGGTAAATTGACGCAACAGCAACAGTAGTGATAATATTAATGCTGATAATAATCCTCGCGCCGAGATGTCTCTGGGCGCTGCGCGAGCTACTAGCGGGCGGATTGGCTGCGCGGGTTTTTGCGGGCGAAACTGCGGCGGGGGTTTGCGAGCGAGAGAGAGAAACTCCCTTTCTCTTTTCGAGTAGTGCCGCCAGATCCTCCAAGTCCGTTCCAGCCAACGGAGGGGAGCGGCGTCGAGCCCGATAACCCCGAACCAAACCCAGCCGTCTTCTTCCCGCTTTCCCCCAACAGAAGCCCTACGTGTGCAAGATTCCGGGCTGCACCAAACGCTACACGGACCCCAGCTCGCTGCGGAAACACGTCAAGACCGTGCACGGGCCCGAGGCGCACGTCACCAAAAAGCACCGCGGAGACACGAGCACCCGGCTACACCCGGGGCAGGACGGCCCGAGGCCGCTTCCTGGCCTGGGCGCTGACCTGGCAGCCGACGGCACAGCCCACGCCAAGCTGCCGGACTGCATGCAGGGCACACTGATGGTGCCCAACCCTGCCATGGTGAGGCGGCAGAGACGAAGCAGACCGCGACGGCAGTACAGTAGTAGTAATCCTCGCGTGCGACCCGGCGCCTCGTCGGGTCGTCCCGACACGTCTCAAAGCGCTTCACGGGATACGGCGGCATAACGGAGTGACTGTGTGTTTTGCGGGCGGAACTCAGCAGCCAATTTGCGCCCAGCGACGTCCCCACAAACAGCCGTGCGATTGAGTGACCAAACATATATATTTTGTGAAGGGATTATTACCCTCAGGAAAGCGATCCGCCAATCGACTAACAACCGGGTTCCTACTGACTGCCGGTAAACACAGGCGTGTGCGTGTGTGTGGGGAGTAAGGAAACTTGCCTAAGGTTTTGCCCTGTCCTGACCCGCCCGGGAATCGAACCCGGGTCCTCTCTCTCGCGTGCGAGGCGGATAAGGCTGTGATTTTGACTCTGTCGTGTTTCTCCGCTCCGATCGTTTTTTTTTTTTTTGCCAGAAGTCCCAGCCCAGTCCCGGAGGCAGGTCGTCGAGCAGCAGTGAGCGGTCGCCCCAGGGCAGCGCCAACAACAACGACAGCGGGGTGGAGATGAACGCCAATGGCGGGGGAAGCTACGAGGACCTGACCAACATCGACGAGGTGCTGTCCTGCGCGGTCGAGCCCCCCGCCCGCCCGGGGCTGCTGGAGCTGGGGCTGAGGAGGAACGGCAGCGCGCTCCAGCGCCTGGAGAACCTCAAGATCGGCAAGCTGAAACAACTCCGCAAATCCACACCCCCCTCCTCCTCGCGGGGAGTCAAGCTGCCCTCCGTGCAGGGGAACGGTGAGTCAATCGCACGATAACTCTGTGACGGTCTCGAGCCCCCGGTTCCTGAGCCTGGAGGGGCCGCGGTGTCCCAGGGCACTCGCTGCTGATGGCAGCTCAGCCCGGCCCGGCTCAGCCATCGGCAGGACCTGGAAGGTCCGACCGGTCACTGGGGGCAGAGAATCCTCCCCCTCAGCTCCTGTTAACCCCACAACCAAAGCACTAACCAACTAACGGGGAGGGGTCCTGGCCGGACAAGCAGCGGGAAAGCTTGGCCAGACAGCGCTCTCGCTCTCTCTCGATGGCCGAGCCATGTGTGGGTTTAGTTGGTTAGACTCCAGCAGTTACCCCAACACACACTCTGGGCTCCAACCCACCCCCAAGCCTTGGCTCTCGCCAACCTGCCCCTAAATACTCTCCGGAATTAGTAACCAGGGAGAGCGAGAGAGCACATTCAATCCGAACAATCTCTCTCTGGGGTGTCCATGTGTAGACGGGAGGCCTGGAATTCTCAGTTTGGTTTGGAGACTCTTAAGCGACAGTGACGGGTTTCCGTGTGTGCCAGCCCCCCCCCGGCTGAACTACCCCCAAAATAAAATGCTGAAGAGCTTTACCCTTCCCTCTCTTTCAACCCCACTCTCTTTGCCTGGCCCTCAGGTTCTCACGGAGACACATCAAGCACGTACGGAGGTTCTCTCCCTCCCTCTCATCGGATGGCGGACTTTTCGGCCAAAGATCTGACCGCGAGGAGCCAGCTGAGCGAGCGACGCGGGAGCCTGGCCAGTACCTTCAGCTCGGCTTACACGGTCAGCCGGAGGTCCTCGGCCATCTCCCCCTACCTGTCCAGCCGGCGTTCCAGCGAGGCCTCCCAGGCCAATGCCAACCCTTTCGCCTGCGCCGATCCATGCGAAGACCCCTCGCCCTCCCCCGACCCCGTCCAGAGACCCCCCGAGGCGGGGCAGTGCGTCAGGCTCCCGGCCTTGTCCCACTTCTCCCCGCAGCAGCAATACTGGCTCAAAGCCAAGTACGCCGTGGCCACGGGAGGCCCACCACCGACTCCCCTGGTGACCGGCAGCACGGAGGAGGCGGCCGGGCCCTCCTTCCCCAGGGACGGGCACAGCTCCGGGTTCCCCCCGCCCGCCCAGCCGCGACGGAGCAGTGAGGGGGGGTTCGGGGGTTACCCGCACGGCCTCCCGCGGCCTCACAACATCCCTGGGATCAGCTCGAGGCGAGCCAGCGAGCCGGTGTGCGCCGCCATGGCCTCGGACCCGCTTCTCTCCCTGCCCAAAGTCCAGAGGTTCAACAGCCTCAACAACATCCACCCCGACCGGCGGAGGAACAACAACAGCAGCAGCAGCAACAACAACCATCACCACCCTCTGCAGCACTTGGCCGGTTCGGAGCCCAACGTCCACAGGCACTTGTACTCGCCCCGTCCTCCGAGCATCGCCGAGGACGTCTTGATGGAGACCCTGGCTATGGACGCCTCATGCCAAGCCGACTCTCTCCCGCCCGATGACGTCATGGGCGGCTACCAGTACCCGAGCTACCGAGAGGCCAGCGCCCCGCCCTTCGGTGGCCCCCTCGCCTGCCCCCACCAGGCACGAGGGTTTCCGGGGCGCTTGGATCAGATCCTCTACGACAGCCCCGTTCGGAACCTGGCGGACGGGCACCCTGACCCGGGCCAGCGCGGGCTGGCGGACGCCCGACCAGGCTACGAGGGGAACCCATGCCAAATCAGCCAACCGGGCCACCCTTTCCCGAGCCCGTGCCGGGCGGAGAGCCTACCCGTTCAGTGGAACGAGATCAGTTCGGGCAGCTTGGACATCGGCGCCTCCCAGATCCCGAGCCGGCTCCAGTGCCTGAAGCGCTCACAACAAAGTCCGCACTCCTCCCACCAGCCCCTCTCCTTCCCCCAGCACAACGTCGGCCTGCCTCCCACTTCCCTGAGCCCCCAGAGCGCCTTCTGCGCCAACCACCCTCCCCGAGCCAACGCCAACCCCAACCTCCTCCACCCGCAGCAGGTGAAACCCGAGCAGCGGTTCCACCAGTCGTCCTTCACGTCGCTCGATGACCCGCGCCGAAACCTGAAGCCATCGGGTTCGCTCCGGCCCGGGTTCCCCCAAGCCAAGCAGGGGCAGCTCAGCCCCGGGGGGTTGAGCTGCGGTTATCAGGAGCAGCTCGGCAGCCCACCCCGTTCCTGCTTCGATGCGGCCCCTCCGATCGCGGGGTGCCCGTTGCGAGACCCCAGGCGGACCGGAGCCCACACGCCGCTGATGCAAGTGAAGGAGATGATGGTGAGAAATTACGTTCAGTCACAACAGGCCCTCCTATGGGGGCAGCAGCCAAAGAACTGTAGCCTTGAAGCCCAGATGCCAATCAACATGGACGCCTCACACATCGGTCCCTCCCAAGCCCTGCTCAGCCCGTCCCCGCACACTTACAGAGTTCAAAATCAGCCTTACACTGGGACAACTTACATGAACTGTCAGAGTCAACCAACTCAGTCCAATCTATCAAGCCCAGTTTCTCAGGAAGGTCCAAGCCAAGGTAGGGTTTTGATGAGCTCGTGCGGTCATTGCTTCGGTCCTGAAATGTTGCCCCAGCCTCCTCCCCCAGCTCACAAGCCGGTCGGCCGGCAAAACAGCCTGACTCACCAGCAAGGCTACTTGATAAGCCCCGGCCTTAGCTCGGTGGAAGCCAGCCCGAAACGACTGACTCACCTTCCGCTCGTACGGCCCCCGGAACCTCCCGAAGACGACGGGACGATGTTCTACTCGGACCGGATGCTCACGAGGCAAGGACCGCCCATCTCGCTAAAGCAGGTGCCAAACCCAATGCAGATGAATTTACCTCAAGCGAACTGTTCGATTCAACAGCAGCAGCATCAGATGATGCCAAGCCTGGATCTGACCAAACTTCCCTCCGCTGTTTATCCAGAGCCCGCTCAGATATCTAACGCCATCGACACCTTGGACCTGGAGCAAACGCAGATTGATTTTGGAGCCATTATGGATGATGACGCAGACCAACCTTCCTTGATATCGGACGCTTTAATGAGTCCGAGTATTCTTCAGAACACCTCGCAAACGTCCTCTCGTCTCACCACGCCCCATAACCCCCTCAGTCTGCAGGCCGGCATGTCCAACATGGCGATAGGAGACATGAGTTCCATGCTGACCTCACTGGCAGGAGAGAGCAAGTTTCTCAACACCATGTCTTAATCTGTCGTTCCACAGAGCGATGGTCCGAGAGAATTTACGCACCTAGCCTTTGGCTGATGGGAAAACGTAGGAAAGCTGACCACCGCAAGACATGTGGAGGTGTTTGGATTGCCAGCAACTCTCGACTCTCTCTCACGCCTCAACGCACATACCATTCACACTTTGTAACTCGCTCCCCTCACTTATAGCTGATAGGAAATGAAATGGTCTGTCTAAATCTGGGAGCACAGTGCATGGAGCACAGGAACAGGAGTACAACGTCACTCGGCCCCTGGAGCCTGTTCCGCCATTCTATTAGATCACGGCTGATCTGTACCTCAACTCCAATTACCCGGCTTTGCCCAATATCCCTTGATACCCTTATACCATTCAGTGTTGACTGAATGGCCAACAACACACACACCTCTACAGCTAACTCACTCTCCAAAGTCCATAAATCAATTCTCTGTGCAGTGAGATGGTTGGGGAGGGGGTCTGGAACCTAGGTTGTAAGCTGACCCCCGTGTTAGGTATTACAGATGTAGTCCACACAGTGTTGCACCAGTAAGTGCGTTCACTGACCGTTCACTTCTGGGACAAATTGAATTGAATGCAGTGCAGATTGATGGGATGAAAGTCTCTACCTTTCTGAAGGCTGCAAGGTTCACACATGAAGCACTTTTCAATCCCATTCTTGCTGGCTACCAACGAGACCTGTCCCTGGGAGGGTCCGGGCAAAACCTTAGGCAAGTTTCCTTACTCCACACTCATGCCTGTTGTTTACCGAGCAGTAAGTCGGAACCCGTTTGCTAAGACGATTGGCGGATCACGTTTTTTCTCCGGGTGCCTTTGAAAATCCCTTTCAAAAAATGATATATTTTTTAAAAAATACTTATTTGATCCCTCAATCCACTGCAATGTGCAATTACCTGCCTCACCGACAACAACGTCAACTGTCATTTACACAGCTCCTTTCATGTGGGGAGGACGTCTCAAAGCGCTGGACAGTTACGGATTTGGACCCGAGCTGGGGGTTGGGATCAGGAGTGGTGGAGGGTAGGGAGGGTGACCGAAGGCGTGATCGAATTAATTGCATTAAACTTCAGCGAGTGCCAAACAGTACGAATGGAATATTCAAAAAGTGTCCCGCCCGCGCGCGTGTGTGTGTGTGTGTGTGTGTGTGTGTCTCTCTCTCTCCCTCACATGGAGAATGAGGAAGGAATTAGTGGCTTGTAAGAAGAGGCTTAATCGCTCATGAATAACATTGCACCAGTTAAACACGGGATAGGACAAGCTAATACGATTCAAACACGACGGGCTGTCAACTAAAGTGACGGATCGCGACTCCTTCTGGGTTCGTTTTAGCTTGAAATGAGGACATTTGTTTCAAGTACAAAAGACTCTTATTAAACCAAGATAATATACTCGCTGCCATTGCCACAGCCAGAAAGTTTCTCTGTTATTTTTTGTATTAACCTAAAACTACACATGCCTTTTGCTCTGCACAGCCCTGAGCTAGTTTAATGTATTGTATAATCCTAAAGCAGTGTGCGGGGTGTAATGGAGCCTTCAGCCAACAGGGTGGGGTTGAAATACGAGTGAGATCTGGGTCAAACAAACCCAGTGACCAGGAAACAATGGATGAGGGAGGATCTCATTTTAAACATAATGGAAAAACACAGCGAAGCATCGGAACACCGGAGGCCATTCAGCCCCTCGAGCCCGTTTCGCCACTCTATAAGATTGCGGATGATCTGTACCCCAACTCCAATTACCCGCCTTTGCCCCGTAGCCCTTGGTACCCCGACCTGTCAAACATCTCTCCAGCTCAGTCCTGAAAATTTGAAGTTTCTCGGAAGCTGCGCTATCGAATCCCTTTACTATTTTGAACACCTCAATCGGCTCACCTACCCCTCAACCTTCTAAGCTCAAGGTATACAGACCAGGTTTATGCAACCGCTCCACATGATTTAACCCTTTGACACGTTTTGAAGCATTTATCCTTCGTAGGAGGACTGAACGTTTAAGAGTCGACATGACACACTTTTTCAGAGAAAAGGCGTTTTTACGTCGTTGAAAGAAGCTTTGCAATAGGAACAGAACTGACATGTATCACTATAGAAATGAATGTTTTCTGCTTGTTTTTTTGTATGTAATGCAAACTTTGTATAAAAAGAGACATTTTTGAATTCCCCTCACTGTAAATTTGTTTTTTTTATATATATATTATATATATATCTACCAAACTAGATCTTTTGTACGTACTTGTGGCCCAGTCAGGAGATCAGCAGTTGATAGGACACTGGGACAAAATGATGTCGAGTATTTTTGTACATTTGCAAATAAAACGAAAAGAAATGAAATAACTGGCGACTTCGGTGTCCTAGCTCTTGTATTATTCCTCCGTGTGCTCCACAGGTATTAACACCAACCATCCTTGCAGGGCCTTGGAATCATCGAAACATACAGTACGGAAGGAGGCCATTCGGCCCATCGTGTCTGTGTCGGCTCTTTGAAAAGAGCTTCCAATTCAAACCCACTCTCCTGCTCTCGCCCCGTAGCCCTGATCCACCCCACTCTCCCGCTCTCGCCCCGTAGCCCTGCAAACTTGTCCTCCCCAAATATTGATCCAATTATTTGCCTTATCACGTCTCAAAAGGGCTTCACAGAACATATTGTAATGCGGAACGACTGTGTATTTTGCGGGGGCGAAGCGCGGCAGCCGACTGCAGAGAGACAATGAGCACATCATTCCAACAACAGCAAAATGACATTTATGGAGCGCCTTTCACGTCGAGAGGACGTCCCAAGGTGCTGGACAATTAAGGGTCAGGACTCGAGTATGTGAGGGGGGGGGGTAGGATAGAGGGTGAGGGAACAACTTGCGTTCAGTACCCGTCTCACACGTACCCAAGCAGAACAATTTGTAATACAGCTCCTATATAATTAGTAACACTAACCTGCCCTAACCAGCAGACGGTCTCCTCCCACGCAGGAGTTGAGTACGCAATGCATTCCTAAATCCACCTCGACCTCGCCGGTGCTCAAGGTGTTGCATGGGGGACAAACGTGCTTTGGTCCACTGATTGATGCGCTGGAAGTCGCTCTTCCCATGTTATCGCGCTGGCTTTAAAGAAGAGTTCAGTCGCGTGTACGAACGGGCAGGGCTTTCACTGCGGACACTTAACACGCAATCCGCAGTTGCAGGAAACAATCAACAAGCGGTAATGGATACTGGTCTTTAGAACAAGGAGCCTGGAATAAATAAAAAGCAAGGAAGTTATATCAATCAATCAATCATATTATTCTGATAATAATCAGGGGTAATAATCCCTCCAAAAAATCCCTCCGGTTAATAAATAATAGTTATATCAATCAATCAATCAATCAATCAATCAATCAATCAATCAATCAATCAATCAATCAATAATATTATTCTTTTAAGTATCAGGGGTAATAATCCCTCCAAAAATAATAATTTGATCACTCAATCCACGACGGTTTGTTGCTGTGCGCAATTGGCTGCCGCGTTTCGCCCTCAAAATGCACCCTCGATTCACTTGACAATATATCCTGTGAAGCGCTTTGAGACATCTCGAGGACGTGATGAGGCGCGATAGCGGATGCAAGGACGGTTATTACATTATCACCTTGGTCACTCGAACGGTTGCTGCATTTGCCTGTGAAAAAAAAACACGTAAATAAAGTGCTGGATATATAAAAATAATCTCCAAACAACGAGCTCTAACCAATGCCCCGGTTTAGCCTTCCCTCTTTCCCACATCTCCTTCAAGAGCAAACGAAAACCGAAAGCTTTTCAGAAGTCAAATAAAAAGGATATTCTTCAATTTTATTATCACGGGAATTCCACAGGGCACAGATTACACAGAGAGAATTTTACACTGAGCCCCTCCCTCCCAACTCCCCAACCCCTCACCACCCCAAGGTGCATTAATTGTGGTACAAATAATAAAAAACACAGCAAGTGAAAGGAATCAGCATTGCCCTCATTGACTCGATTTCCACACCGAAACTGACCGCCGACCATTGGAGGAAAGAGCAGACGAGGAAAGGACGATCAAGAAATCACAATCAGAAATTTGCCCGATCATTAAAACTCAACATTATTTTCTGAATGGTGTGGAGTATACGCGAATAGAAAAAAAAAAGACACGATAGACGGACAATATAAGGACGTAAGAATTAGGAGCAGGAGTCGGCCATTCGGCCCCTCGAGACCGTGCCCCGCCATTCGATAAGATCACGGCTGATCTTCAGACCTCACTCTAATTACCTGCCCTCTCCCCGTATCCTCTAAACCCTGTGTTTTTAAAAATCTATCTGCATGTGGCTGGTACGTCGGTTCCCTCCCCCACATCGTGTTACGTTGTTCCATCCATCGACCGGCTCTCCCCTCCCTCCCTCCCTCATTCTCCGCTTTGCTTGTTACTCCTCGTTGTACTTATTTCGCATTTTTTTTTGCACAATAGGGGGGAAAAAAAAGCCTCATTTATATTGCGATGGGAGACGCAGTCACGTAAAATGCCGCATTGGCTAAAAATAAGAATAAACTCTAGCGTGTCTTTGCCGGCTTCTTCTCCCAGCGCAGCTCTGTGAGTGACGGACGCCCGACTTTATAAAGTAATCCTGTGTTTCCACCTTTAGGAGTTTCAAAACTCACTGCCTGGCCTGCAGTAAGAGACTCGATTTTCCTCTCTCCTTTGCCTGACGGAGATCCACTCAGGACTGCTGTCACTTGCACGGGCACTGACCAGCTCCAGCAGCTTGTCAACGTGGTCGGTTGCCTTCAGCAGTTCGTCAACGCGGTCTCGCTTCACGGAACAACACGAGCGACATAAAACACTCAGCACCATTAGGTTGGCTGCAGAGCGAGCGAGCGAGGGGACGCACCCACACACGCGCACAAGTCCGATCACTGTCTTCGAACGACACCCACAACAACAACTTGCACTTTTATAGCGGCCCCCACGGAGGGTAGCGTCTCAGAGCGCTTAACAAGTGCTCCTTTCGCCACCAAGGGGCACCAAGGCCAAATACAGCGCCTCCTTCCCCACTGAGCTCAGCTACGCCACCGAAACCCCAAGATCTTCCCGCGTCTCACTTGACATCGAACAAAACATTGGGGGCAAAGGCGTGAACCGCAACAATCAACCAGGCTTTAAATCAATCAGTTTTTCTTTAATACGTATATATATATAAAAAAAAATCAAATTCCATCACCCGCATGAACTCAAAACTCCTGACAGAATTCCAACGCGCAAACCGTGGGGGGAAATCAGCCCCGGACACTTCAGACACCATCTGACCTCACTATCCTGCTGGGATACACTCCATTGCTTCCACGCTACTGTAGGATTCGCTGGTCCAACAGTGGAGGCTGAAGGAGGAACTCGGCTTAATTGTTCCACGAGAATTTCAGGTCTCCCCCGGTATCTGCTGTTCCCCCTTCGGATCCATCTGCGAATGGCTTCAAATGCCCGGCAGCTGAGTGGCTGCACTGACGCATCGACTCGTTGGTGAAGGCGATTACCCTTTAACCACTGGCAGGGGAGGTTAGTGAGCCAAGCAGTCGGGACAAAAGTCCCCCCAAATAGTGACATCTCCCCAAGGCCTGAGGGCTGGTATTGGCAAGAGACATCCTGAGCGTAAAAGGATGATGGCTCCTGGTGTTCATACTTGATTCTCTCTGCCAGACTGTACGCATCCTGCACATGGCACTGTTGCGTGTACGCTTAAAGGTGGGTTGGAGATGGACAAGGGGCAACGTACTTTTAAATATAAAGCTATCTTCTCAACGTTGGGGGGGGGGGGGGGAGGGGGGAGAAAGGGAAGCTGAAAACAGTCAACGATATCTAATTGGTTACGGACGTCTAGCCTCCTAGTAATTTCTTTCTATCTACCACCAAAAGGTAAAACTCCTTGGTAATTACTTCCCATCTCCACGTCTGCAGGGAGTCAATCCACCTTGATGGCTCAGGTGAGAGCCTTTAGCAATATGCACTCAAGATATAATAAGAATAATCCTTGCATTTGATACAGCGCCTGATCACTTCTTCCGAGACGTCTCAAAGCGCTTCACAGCATATACTGTAAGGTGAATTGACTGTATATTTTGCAGACGAAACTATTGCACAGTACATCAGCTGGCTGGCTGGAAATCAGTCTAGGACATCAGTGGATTGTTTCCTAAACTTGTGGGGGGTGGTTGGGGAAGGAGGATGGTGGTGGTGGTGGGGGGGGGCAAAGGTCAAGTCTTTATAGGGACAGAAAGCTACAGAAAGTTTCTCCCCTTCCTAACATGAGTTACACCTCATTTTAAGAGGACCTCGTCACACGGAGTCACAAATGTAAGCAATCATATATTCTTTTCTGGGGGGTTGCAAATACTGCAATGGCCAGTCATTTGCAAACAGCAAAGCGTCCCAACTTGTATCATGGGACGTAGGACCACATGCAGGGCACTGGATCATTCCCGAAGGCTTCGAGTTTTCACACCGTCTACCCACTTGTGTTCGTAGTTAAAGGTGCGCGTCCGTAGAAAGAATCGTGGGATGGGTGGATGGATGGATGGAATGACGAGCAGATTCACTCTCGTCAGGGATGTTAGGACATTAATAATGTTGCACCAGCATTTTTTTTTTAAATCTCTCTAAACGCTCTTCGATAAGGAACTGTAGTCATTCACCTCTCGGCTGCTTCTCTCCACTTAGGGCACTATTCAGGGTCCGTTCGGCCTAGAGACAGACTCGTTCTTTGAGCTCGTTCTCAAAGAGATGTCAGTCGCTATCGATGCTGCTTTGTCCACACAGCCACTGCTTCGAGCAGGCCAATGCTAGCCCCGGCTTGGCTTGGCTTGGCTAGAGCGCGTGCCCATACAGAACCATCAAGACCCCCTTCAAACACAGCGACCTGCGGTTTCTGAATGGCATTCAGTGCGAGAATCTCCAGCATTCAGCCTCAACACCTTTAGACACAACACTCACTGCCTCGAGACAAAACCCTGTTCCAAACGCTGGCTAGAAAATACTCACCACCCACATCCTTTCCCCTCCTCAAACAAGCAGATAACAGATGCCAGAGTCGTGACCTTGTGTATATGTATGTGTATATATATGTATATATATATTAAAAAAATCAAATGGTAAAATGCTGATTTTTTAAGATGTTTGGTGCTGGACTTGGGGAGATTATTCCTGATCTCATTGCTAGCTCATCTAACTTGTTCTACAGGAAAGGAGAGAGAAAGAGAGCGAGAGAGAATTTAAAAATGTAACAAGTACAATCCTAGTAAATAAATAAGTTATGAGCCCGACGTTCCACTCAAGCAATAATATAACCCAAATGAGGCAAGAATGTATTTCAATCATTCCGGTTATATAAAAGCCCCCAGAATAGGTTGTGACAGGCCACCCCGCCCAGGGTCTGGAGTACACTGCGAGGCTTACTATTTGGATGATCATAAATCAATGCCACAAGTTCCGAACGAACGACGGAAAGATTTTGACAGAACTCCGTACTTGATTGTGGAGTGGATTGAGCTGAACTGAGCCGAAGTGAACAGCGTGTTTTTTCTGAGGGTCCTTTCCATACACGACCCTGCACAAGAGGTCGAGGAGGAGAGCCAGAGGGTTGGGGGGGGGGGGGGAAGAGAGGTACACTCCGGGCAGGCTGTGCCGCCTTGTCTCTTCGGCCGGGAACGGCAGTGATTAACGAATACGCCCACTGTCACCAAGTTTCTATCATGGCCCAAAATGGTGGTCGTTATATTTCTTACAGAAACGCATGCCAAGATGCCTTAACCACCCCCACCCCCCACCCCCAATGGTCAGCCAGCTTCTTATCCTTTAGCTTCTGATCAAGCAGACTCGGTCACTTGTGCAAGGAGCACATTTACAACCCCGGGTTACTGAGAGAGGCAGTCGTGTCCTTTGAATTCCTTTGTCGGCGAGCTGCAAATATCGTTCCTCTTTCCGAGCTGCAAGTGAAGGCTGAAGGCGTTTACTCAAGTCTCTGCGTCTGTCGGAGATCGCTCACTTGAGGATTATGTGATAACTGTCGCTACTCTCAGCTGCCAAGAGAAAGGAATGAAAAAGGTGCTTAGACGGGCGACACAGCAAACAGCAATAGATTTACAAGGATACTCCTTGCATTTGATATAGCGCCTTATCATGCCTTTCCAGACGTCTCAAACCGCTTCACAGAATATTCTGTGAAGTAGCGACTGTGTATTTTGTGGGCGGAACGCGGCAGCCAATTGCACACAGCAGCGTCCCCACAAACAGCCGTGGATTGAGTGACCAAATCGTTATTATTGTGTTTAATTTTTAAGGGGTCAGCTTGGCATGGCCTAGTTGGTACACATTATAGTAAATTCCGTGAAGTGCTGTGAGACATTTTGACGATGGGATATGGCGTTGTATCAAAGGCAATGAATATTATAATTATTATCTTTTAGTATGCAGCATGTCCCAATTAGAATCAGAGCCAGCAACTGATATAAAATGCCGACCAGGCTGAATAATCTTCGCCAAAATACTTGTTGTACGTCCCAAAAGATAGTGCGGTTACCTTTCAAAGTGTCCAGCACAAAACAGGATTCATCTTGGAAATTTTGGATCATCTGGAAAGAGGCGAAGCAGAATGAGTACCAACAGCATTACCGCATGTCGGGAAAAACACTGCTGATTAAAAAAAACATTTAAGAACATTGCTATCAGAAGTCCGTCAGTCGGATGTCACAATCTTTCCCTCAAAGTTGACATGCAGCAGCAAACTTGCCAGACCGCGCTTTCAACAGCAAGCTGTTTGGTTTTATCTGGTTAAGCGCCAGTAATACTCCAACCATGGCAATATTCTATTGAATTCAACTAATCTGCACTTGTTAATTTAGTAACTACTGAGGAACAGAACATTTTCCCTTCAGGCCCTCAGGCTCGTTGCTGAGCACTTTGGGTCAGATTAGCTGCCGAGTAAATTTTTACTCCAATTATGCCCTAAAACATACAATTACCCTGGAATAACTTTCTCCGTTGACCTTGCTCGCTGTTCTGTGATCGTCATGGAGTGATTACAAATTGAACGTCAAACCAGAGCTATTCTTCAAAGTAAATAAAAATCGGTCACTCAATCCACGACTGTTTGTGGGACACCGCTGTGCGCAATTGGCTCCAGAAGGGCCTTACCTCATCGCTGACCAGCACGTGGATGCCCGTGGGTCCCTGCTTGTAAATCTGATTGATCTGACGAGGTGAGATGTTGAAAAGTTGAGCGATCTTCTCAGTCAATTCGACCGCCGTCAACTCTTCCAAATAAATGGCGTGGTACACTGCAACACAGAGAGAGGGGCGCAAGCCTTCAATAGCCCATCTTGGCATTTTTAAAACCTACCCAAGTGAGAGGACCCGGGTTCGATTCCCGGACGGGTCGAAGCGTTGGGTGAGTTTTGTGTGTAAAACGTGGAGGGGTAACCCTCGACATGTAGCGCGGACTGGACTGAAGGACCCACCGTAAAAAGAACTGTTGACTGAATCCCCGTTTTCGTGTTTCTGCGGAGGCTGTTCCCGCACTTGCTGGGACTCCTGACAAACGTAAACCGTTAGCCTCGGTCTCACCATCCTAGATAAGCACGATAGGGAAAACAACGGGTTTGACTGCAAGATAATAATCTTAAATATAAAAGCGACATTGGCCAAGGACACATCTTACTGCGGTTCCCAGGGTTATATATTTTTTTCCCCCACAGGATCCTTTTTAACCCCACAACTTTTTTTCCTTTTAAGACCGTGAGCTAAATAATAGTGTCGAAACTAGGAGCAAAGCTGCGCGTCAATCACGTCGGGAGGGCATCCCAAGGTGCTGGACGCTCAAGGATTTGGACCCGAGTCGGGGGTTGCTGCAAGACTTACTTTCCTTTGAGAGCGTTGAAGAGTCGAATTCCATCTGCGGGTCCGCAGATCTGGATAACATCATCCCGGGTCAGCTTTAACAGATCGCTGCCTGTAGAGGGGAGCCATTAGATAAGATAATCCACAGCGTCTCGGAGCGCTTCCGTTTAATCAAACAACTTGATTTGAATTTTTTTTTTGTACGTGTTCTGCACTCAGGGAGTTTCGGCTGGTTAACCTTGCAGGATGATTTATTATTATACACAGACAAGCACACACATAGATATTACTTCTCCTACATGACCCGGGCCCACATGACTCAGCAAGATTGACCGCAGTGAATTAAAAGAAAATTGGCGGTCACTCAATCCACGACTGTTTGTGGGGACGCTGCTGTGCACAATTGGCTGCCGCGTTTCGCCCACAAATTGCAGTCGATTCACTTTATAGTATATCCTGTGAAGCGCTTTGAGACGTCTCCACGACGTGATAAGGCGCTGTATCAAATGCAAGGATTATTGTTAGTATTAAGGTAGTAAATTAGGTACCAGAGAAGTTTGCGAAGAGCCTGCAGTAAGGAGAGAAGCGGTTTCTGTGCAGCCACTGCTGTGCGTCCTGAGGTGTGGCTGTTGGCAACAGGTTCTGCGACAACATAAGGTAAGAAAGTCAATCAGACCCCAGCCGGGAAACGTACATGCAGATACAACGAGAACATAAGAAATGCTGGGGCCAAATAAAAAGACCAAGGTCCATCTAGTTCACCTTCTACCTTCCTGGCGGTAGCACACGCCCCGAAAGGTCAAACATTCCTCAGGAGATTAACCCACACGATTACAGTTTCTGAAACTCTGGAACACTCTCCCTCAAAACCCTCCTCTTTGCCCCCTCTCCCCTCTTTCAAGTGGTGCCTGAAAAACCTTCCTTTTCGACCGTGCTTACGCGGTCACCTCCCTCTCCCTTCCCTCGCGGCTTGGAGTCAGGCTCCGCCACTGTTCAGCGCTCTGAGACTCTGCCCCGCGTGGAGGGCGCTATTGAAGTGCAAGTTGTCGCTGTCTGTGTTTCAGCAAAGCTTTACCTGGTTTTCTGAGACGGGCGACACGGACAACTCTCGACAAACCCACTTCCGAAAGGAACCCAATGCCTGAGGAGAGAAAAGCTTATGAACGAGAGGCCATCGACCTGAAATGTTAACTCCACTGTTCCCACCCGCTTCTGTGTTTAAATGTTTGTTGAAATCTGTCCCACCGCACCACACAAACACCACCAATAAATTGAATTTACACAGCGCCTTTCACGTCGAATGGACATTCGAGGGTTTGCTTTCGTTTAAACCAACAACTCTGCAAGTGCACACTTTGGAAAGAAACGTCCTCCCACCCCCTCAAAAAAAAAGTAATAAGCTGTCTCTACTTTAATGAATGCAACGCAAATCCAATGACTACGTTGTTATTGCAAATTGGGAAAAAAAAACATGACAAGTTTCAAAAAGAATCAATCTCCACTGAGCGGAAAGCCGTTTCAAGACGTCTCAAAAGCGCTTCACAGGATTTTACTGTAAAGTGTTGCGACTGTGGATTTGCGGGTGAACTGCACAAGCACACTTGAACCAGATAAACACAAGAAAAAGGCACTTTCACTTACACTTACATCAGTGTTTGGAGGGCCTGGCTCAGGCTGGTGATTTGGGGATCCATTTCTAAAATTAGATGGGATTTTTTTTGAATCAAAAACATCCAAATTTAAATCAAATCAGTTGACATCAGGACACAGCAGTGACTTAAGACTTACCCTTCAGAGATGGTGAAACTGCTGTGTGAGCTGCTGAATCCGGGAGATGCTGTGTTGTTAACATAGGAGATGTCAGGCCAAGGAGAGCACTGGAGAGAGAGTGGGGGAAGAGGAAGAGAAAATACTTGTACCACAAATGTTTAAACAGTAAAAAGATTCCTCTGTCCACACGTTTTTAACATACACCCCACCCCCACCCGTGTAATGCATTACTGTGTCTCTTCGCGGAATATACCGTGAAGTGAATCGACTTTGCGGGCAAAACGCGGAGCCAATTGCACACAACAGTGCCCCACAAGTGGATTGAGTGATCAAATTACTATTATCATTTTTTTTTAATCAAGGGATTATTACCCCCTGGAAAAGCAACGTGGAAACTTGTCTAAGGTTTTGCCCTGAACGGGAACCGGGAACCAAACCTGGGTCCTCTCGCTCGCCAGGCAAGCTCTCCAACCACTACACCACAGGGCTCCCCACTCTACTCCTCAGGTATGTACTGCCCAATGCAACACTGCCCAACGCCCGAGCTCCAGCTATCTGTCAGGCTGATGGAGGCTGCAGTCCTACCTCTGTGAGTATCGTCGTCTCGTAAGAGGGCTGATATTTTTCCTTCTCTTGCGGAGTCCGTTTCTCCATCTTCTCTCTGTCCGTTTTCTGTTTTCGATCAGCTCCTTTCGGCTGCAAGTGAATCAGACACACGTTCTTATAATGGAAACAGACAAACAAACAACCAAAAAACACAGGAAATTTACAGCACAGGAGAAGACCGTTCAGTCTCAAAGTGCTTCACAGAATATACTGTAAAGTGTAGTGACGAAATAGGCCAGAGAGCAATGAGAAACGGGAGCACAGGGCACTGTCTGCACGTTAAACATATTGTTTAATGTTACACTGCCTAAGGCAGCTTTGTGTGACAAAAACACTTGATATATACTTCAAGTCACTCCAACGAACAAACCAGTTAAGTGTAGTGTAGCCTTATAGTTCTGGCTGCCCCGCTATGCAACACAGGGTGAAGAGAGATTGAGAGCATCTCTGATCAGTTCTTCTCCCTGCCTCCCCTGACAGCCAGCTAAAAGTTGGGCCAGATTACGTCAATTTGAGCCCAGTGAGAAAGTCTGCAAAACTAGGATTCCGAATCAAGCTTAAACACAGAGCCAGCACAGGCCCCATGGGTCAAACCAGGTCCTTTGCGCTATTAAAGTCAATGACTCGATTCTCCACCAAACCCAGTTCACCGTGTGAAAGAAATGCAGGCTTAATATTGGAATAAAAAACCTTAAAGCAAAACCTTGAGGCATTTATTGCTAAGCAGCAACTCTGGAGTGGTGTTAGAGTACTGTCTAACCACGTGACAGAACCTGACCCAATTTCAAGGCCCATTACAGTGTGTAGATATAACTGATGTGATTTCAAGCTATAAAGCCAGTCTGGCTTGACAATCTGTGGTCTCAGCTCGCCGTGGCAAAGGTTTATTGATGGCTTCGGTGCTAATGTCTTTGGAAACCTGCCACGTATGCGCAGGAAGACGTAAATACCAATTAAAACTGCTGGTTGAGGAGATTTTACTGAAGGTCAATAAAAAAAAACGCAGAGGCAGCACGGCAGCTGCAATCTCCTGCCTCACAGTCCTCTCGGAAGCCTAGGTCGGAAAAATATTCCCATAAGTTAAGTGTTCCTTCATTGCTCACCTCCTTTCCGCAGAGCGAGGCACAGCATCACAGTCTCCGATGACAAATGTGGCAAGAAGTCTAGCAATTTAAGCTGGGCTTTGGTGGGGGAGGGGAAGAGAATGAGACAAAAGAGGTATATAGCAAAGGGAGAGGAGGAGATTGCTGGGTCCTCTTGCTTGCGAGGCGAGCGCTCAAACCACTACACTACAGGACTATATAAAATAGGTCCCATTAACCCTTTACGCACACAATCCATCGAATTTGTAGCAGTGCGTCCAGTTGAGGTCACCCTCCAAGTGCCAGCAGAGCATTGCAAGATCAGCAATAAGATGTTGACAGTTCTAGTTTTACAGGCGGAACAGGTACTTGGAGGACAGCTTTGGGATCGTTAGTGTCTGGTATCCATGCTGGTGGCATGAGATATCTGGTATATGCAGGAACTGACTGAATGGGAAGAGATTAGTAAGATTAGCTTTGTTTTGATGCACTGTGTAACAATAGAGAAATTGTAAACTTTCCAACAAGTGCCCACATGTATTGTACAGTTTGGGGAAGGTGTGTGTGTGTTGGGGGGGAAAGCTAAGAAGTACAATGTAATCAGTTGAACCACCAAATTGATTATATACTGTAATATACTTTATATTTATATAGGCTGTGCACAATTGACTGCCATTTTCCGCACAATATCGTCAATCCACTTTACAGTATATCGGGTGAAGCGCATTGAGACGACTCGAAGACCTGATAAGGTGCGATATCAAATGTAAGGATTATTATTATTATTAATAATATATTTCTATTTAATATACTTTACAGTATATTCTGTGAAGAGCTTTGAGATGCCTGAACAACTTGATGAGGCACGCTATCAAATGCAAGGATTATTATTATTATTAGATTCAGACACTGAGGAGCTGAGGTAAAGATGTCACGCAGGGTAGGTTCAGGCCTAGGTTGCCGTACCTTGAACACTTTGATTTGGCAGCTGGCTGAGTGTAGATGTTCAGTGTACTCGCCATTTTCCATCTCCTTGAAGGTATCGATCTGGATTCGGAAAGGAACCCCTTTCTCCCCTCCATGCTTTCTGGTGGTGAACTCGGTGCTGATACAATGAACCTAAAGGAAACAGGCAGACGGACAACGTGACAGAGGGAAGAGCTAACGCCGTCAGAAAGCACGCCATTTAGAACCATAGAAACATATAGCACAGGAGGAGGACATCTGACATTTGATCCCAACCCCCAGCTCAGGTCTAAATCCCTGAAAGTCCAGCGCCTTAGGACGTCCTCCCGCTGTGAAAGGCACTGTGTAAATGTCAGTTGTTGTGCCCGTGCTGGCTCTTTTAAGATCAATCCTTTCAAGTCTCATTTACCTGCCCTGTAGTTGACTCCTTTTTCATTATTCATCCAGTTCCCTTTTGAAAGCTGATAAGTAGCTGATACTTAGTAGATTATGCCCCAGTATTCTAATAATTAGTCGGAATTAAGATTTCTCGACTTCCCTCCTATATTAAAAATGAAGTTCAGATGTTTCTTCTGTATGGCTATTTTGTAAGACCACCTGCCCCATCTTCCTGTTGGGCCTGAAGACCTTTTCTTTTTGAAGACCTCTTCAACCGTTCTCACGGTCAGCTCGCCCCTTCCCCCCAGCTCAGCATCGTGCTCTGCCACTGTCAAGCGCTCTGGGACACTACCCTGCCTGAGAGGCACTGTGTAAATGCAAGTTGCTGTTGACCAATTCATATATAGAGCAACTCTCCAAACACTGCACGGAACGAGGTAACCAACGGAAGTAATTGTCCTACCTGGATAAATACAGAGGTTCTCTTTGAAGGGTCCCAAAGGAATTCGACTGTGTTTAGCTGAGTTGGGTTAGCTCTGGGGTCAACAATCCCGACCGACAAAGGAATATCTAAAGCCAACACAGACAGTCGTTACAGTGTGCCTTTCTTTAAAATTCAAATCTAACAATGCTGACATTGCTGTACGCAAACTGGCTGCCGCGCTTCGCCCACAAAACACGCAGTCACTCCATTTCACAGTATATCCTGCTTGAGACGTCTCGATGACGTGATAAGGCGCTGTGTCAAATGCGAGGATTGTTATTCCCCGGTTGAGTGGGTGACAAGTCACCTGCTCCCAGATCATTGCCAGGACAGATTTATAACCAAACGTTGGGATCCCACTCTGTGCAAAGCCGTTTTATCACACTGACGTGCGTGATGGGAGGTTGCAGGACTGTGATTTCTGATCAGGTGTGCTGAAATTGGGAGCTCGTCGGGTCATAAAAATATAAGAACGAACCGGTCAAGTCACTGAAAGCAATTGAAATGAAAACAGAAATCGCGGGGAAGACTCAGCAGGTCAGGCAGCACCTATGGAGAGCATCTGATTGCACGTGCAACACGGCAAACAATGGCAGACACGTTACCTAAATCCAGGATTCTATCTCCAGGCCGGTTCCACCTCCATCCCTCCAACTGCTGGTGCTCTGTGTACTGCAATCGCCGGTCATGAAACACCACCCGGATAATGCTCTGCATGTAACACACGTGAAGTTGGGAACCAGACGTTTAATATGACCCATTTAACATCAATTTCAAGATCCTCACACTCGTTTTCAAATCCCTTCATACCCTGGCACCTCCCTACCTCTCCGACCTACTTACTCCTTCAACCCACTACTCGCTGCCTCCGGTCTCCTGCTTGTCCCCTGTGCCCTCCGTTCCACCATTAGTGGTTGCACTTTTAGCCACTACGCCCCGAAACTCTGGAACTCTTCCTCAATCCCGCCGCCTCGCCCCTTCCTTCCCCATCTTCAGGGCGTGCCTATTCGACCCTGCTTACGGTCACCTCTCCCTCCGCCACTGTTAAGCGCTCTGGGACGCAAGTTGCTGTTGAGCGATGCAAAGTATGAGTTACGCAAAACTTATTAATAATAGGAAATTCCCGACTTAGGCGATTACATATTATATGACTATATTTTATCCAGGCCACACATTCCAGCTGATAGATCTCCACTCAAGACGAAGATGGACCAGAAGCAGCCTCACTGTATTTGCCAACATCCCTTCCTCTTCTCACCTTCACATATTTGCCATTGATTTCTGGCAACTCGCCCAATTTCCGATTATCGAGCATCCGGATTTCATAAGACTGTCCTGAAATCAGAACAAACCAGAATAGTAATGTCATAATAATCATCATCAGAATAATAATCCTTGCATTCGATATAGCGCCTTATCACGTCATTGAGGGGTTTCAAAGCACTTCACAGGATGTACTGTAAAGTGTAGTGACTGTATACTTTGTGGGCAAAATCCGACAGTCAATTGCGCACAGCAGTGTCCCACCAACAGTCATGGATTGAGTGACTAAATTATTAGTTTTTTTGGAAAGGGATCATTACCCCCAGAAAAGCAACTGCCAATCGACTAACAACCAGGTTCCTACTTACAGCTAGGTAAACAGAGGCATGTGTGTGTGGAGCAAAGAAACTTGCCTAAGGTTTCTCCCCGCCCGGGAATCAAACCCAGGTCCTCTCGCTTGAGAGGCGTGCGCGCAAACCACTGAGCTACAGGACTCCACTGGGAAAGGGTTCTTTTTGCCTGCAGGACTCCACAAAGAGAAATTCCTAATGTGAGCGGTACTGAGCCTTACCTTGGTTAAGGTATGTAAGAGTTTCATCGTGGAGCTTGACGGCTGGGGAGGTGGCTGAACATAGGACATACTGAAAGGGCAGAAGTTTATTCTCATTTTCTGGAGGCAGATTAGACTCTTCCTGCTTGAAGATCGGTAGTGCAAGCACATCGCTAGATGCAGATCAGAAACAAAACAATAAAATGAATCCAAACACTTTCACTCAAGATTACATTTATATTCACAATAATCATCCTTGCATTTGATACTTGTGCTTGTGCATCGTTCTGACTCATTTGCCTGAGTCGGAAGATTGTGGGTTCAAACCCCACGCCAGGACTTGGAACTCATATAGTCTAAGATGATACACCAATGCAATGCTGGGAAAAAGTGCTGGACTGTTGTAGATGCTGTTCTTTGGATGAAACGTTAAACCGAGCTCCCCATCTGCCTGTTCAGCTGGACGTTAAAGATCTCCTGGCACTATTCAAAAAGATTTTGTTTTTCCCAGGTTCCTGATGTGAAAGGTGCTATACCAAGTGCGAGGATTATTATAATATAGCACCTTATCATGCCATTGAAAAAGTTTGGTCACTCAATCCAACACTGTTGGTGGGACACTGCTGTGCGCAATTGGCTGCCGCGTTTCACTCACAAAATACACAGTCAATCCATTTTATAATATATTCTGTGAAGCGCTCTGAGACATCTCAACGACGTGATAAGGCGCTATATCAAATGCAAGAATTATAATAATTATTATCATTGAGATATCTCAAACCAATACAACACTACATTTGTATCACGTCGGGAGGATGTCCCAAGGGTGGGGTTGGGATTAGGGAGGGTGGAGGGCAGGGAGGACGGCCGAAGGCGCAGTCGAAGAGGAGGATCTTGAGACAGAATGACAGCTTTAATGACAATTTCAAAGTAAGAGCAGTTCTTCTGTACAGCATCACTGGTCAGGTAAAGGCCCAAATAACCAGCCTGGAGTCTGGAGGAGCGAGTCTAGTCTGGAGGAGCGAGCGATCAGTCAGTACGCTTCATTGGAAAACAGCTGCGAAAATCACATACACAAACAACCATATGCAACCTTTGCACGATTCAAATTACGGAGCATATCAAGTCACAGGAAAGTATCTGAACCATTCCACCAACAGCAGTAGGATGGAGATCCAGATCAAATCCTTAAATAAACTTCAGGAACCGAAGAGGAGTAATCCAATGTGCGGCTTTAGCTCAGAGGGCACGACAGGAAGTGGGAAAATACTACGCAGAGTGTTGTGGCGAGATCGGAGTCCGAGGGCTGGCTGCTTAACGAGGAGGAATCCGAAGGTCATGAACTGCACGGACAAACGCGGGTTCATGACAAAAATGGCAGCACAAGCTTTTAATCACAATAAAAATAATAATAATCCTTGCATCGATACAGCGCCTTATCACGTTGTTGAGATGTCCCAAAGCGCTTCACAGAATATACTATAAAGTGGATTGACTGTGTATTTGTTGGTGAAACGCAGAAGCTAATTGCGCACAGCAGCGTCTCACAAATAGTTATGGAGGGATTATTACCCCCGGAAAGTGATCTGCCAAGTAACAACCAGGTTACTGCTGGGTAACAGAGGCACGCGGAGTAAGGAAACTTGCCTAAGGTTTCGCCTCTGGAATGGATTTTGCATCCACACAGCGAGGAATAACAACGTCAATCAAAAATAAAGTGAGCGACAGAAAACCCGATACTACAATTGGGACATAGAAAACACACCCCAAAAAAACCTGTTCTTCAGAGAACGTCAATTCACTTCCACCACTGGAGTAGTGTCTAACCGTTTTTGTCCACCTGCACCTCAATCATACGTGATTCCACTACATATTATTGAGAATGATTGGGAATGACCCTGTGTGGCTTTCCAGTAAGAGTACAAATCGAGGGGAAGAGAGAGACAACCACCACCACCACAAATTGCGTTCGTATAGCGCCTTTGACGCCATTAGGGTTACCAAGGTGAAATAAGTTGCCCCGTCAAAGAATAAAAAAAAGTGACAAAATGAAACGTACGTCATCTGAGAAGCACGTTGAAAGGTTTTCGGTGAGCAAAAGGGTTAAAGGCTATTACTCTGAAAAGCATGCTCTACAAATCCCATTAGTGCAAGGGGCTTGAGCACTCAACTGTGAAGATAGTGGATGACTTTGTTCATATTCAAGCCAAAAGCTATCTGCGTGCAATTGCTGGGAGCAAAGCCAGCCTGTACCTTTTCCAATGAGATGTGACCAGGCAAAAACACCCAAAACACTTTACTCTGTAAACAGCACTCGGTAAGAGGCAGAAGGCATCTTCCAAGCTGCTCGACTACGTTACTGACACCTCTAGTGACAACATAATTTGAAGAAGTCAAATGGGAAAATACTACAAGTACTGGAAAGAATGCATTACCAGGTAGAGATGTGAACCGCTTCTCAAGGGAAAGCAACATAGACAAGTCTCTTTACGCACATCAGGGCAAGAATGCAGTGATAACTTTATCATACCAGTTTAAGCGCTCTAAGACGCTACTCTGCGTGGAGAGCGCTGTGTGAGTGCAGGTTATTGCTGTTACCACTGCACTTGAATGAAGTCTCAATAAACACAAATGTCAACTGAGGCAGAATAATAATCCTTGCATTTGGTATAGCACCTGATCACGTCTTCAAGATGTCTCAAAGGGCTTCACAGAATATACTGTAAAGTGGAGTGACTGTATACTTTGTGGGAGAAATGAACTAAGGAGCCACACTGATCTAAGCCAAGAATGGACCAAACACCGATTCTAACACTCTACCAAACCAAACCAAAGCCACAACAACAAATCACACTGCATACAAATAGCGTTTCATGTCGGGAAGGACACCCCAAAGCACTGGGCAGTCAAGGACGTGCACCCAAAGCAACGCCAAATGGGATTTATAAACACCAAGTACAGAAAGACGGTGAAGCTCTTGCACAGATAGGCTTCTCAATTTTCGGCTTGAATATCAGCAGATTCATCTGTTACCTTCACAGTTGAGTGCCCCAGCCCTTCCACTAATAGTGTTTGTACGGCAAGTTTTCAGAGCTGGAAGCGTTTCATTCACCTAAACCTACTTACGATGCCCCTTTAAAAATAGCCATTTGTTCTAACACCCTGTACGGTAAATACAGTAATCTCTTCCGTTGCCCATTGCCATTCATTAGCGGCCAATAGCTACTCTCTGTCCATTTGTCTTTCGCTCTTTCATTTCAACGGGCATCATAAAGTTATTCTATCATGTTCAACCATCAGTGATCACTGTAACCAAATACAACGGGTAGAATAAACTGCTCAGCTGACACAGCAATTCACATCCAGCAGAAAGCCAAAGGAGAAAGACAGAGAGCTCACTTACAGGCCCGAGGGGCTGTGAGAGAATATGAAGGTCAGTTCAGGTCAGCTGTCTCAGTCGGGCGATCAAAAGAAGCTGCGTGTTCAGCATTTATCTTAACATCCTCAACCAGCGGAATACGGCCCCAAACAAACCCGCAGATTCAGGTCATGTTGGCTGCTGCATTTCGCCCAGAAAATACACAAGTCAATTCACTTCAGTATATTCGGTGAAGCGCTTTGAGACATCACGAAGACGTGACAAGGCTCTGTATCAAATGCAAGGATTATTGTTCATAGCCGGGCAGGAAGTTATTGAGTTATTTATCAAGTGGCTAAAGACTAGCTAAGACCCCAGGAATACTGAAAACTACTTGATGAAGTGGTTATTAGTTGAGTGCTCCCTCAAGCACCAGCAAAGCTGTCCGCAGGTCTGTCCAAAGAATCTTAGCTGCCCATCATCAGGTAGGTGATGAGAGGCCATCTACATTGACAACCTGCGTTTACACAGCACCCTCTCACGCAGGGTAGCCTCCCAGCGCACTCGACAGTGACAGAGCACGACGCCCAGCTGGGGGGGAGATGATCGAAAGCACAGTCGAAGAGGAAGGTCTTCGGGCACGACCTGAAGATGGGGAAGGAGCGGGCAAGGCAGAAGGATAGAGAGAGGAAGAGTGCTCCAGAATTTCGGGGAGTAGTGGCTGGAAGCACGGCCACCGATGGTGGAACGGAGGTCATGAGGGACAATCATAAGTCTATTCTGAAAAACAGAAATGATCTGTTGCTAAGACCGAGTCAACAGGTTGCTAAGCAGCACTAAAAATATCCGTCAGCGACTTGGTATGAATAATTCCGCTTTGGTTCAAAGTCCTGAACTCCAGCGGCAGACACACACCGGAAGGAGCATTACAAACATTAATCATGGAAAACCCATTAAAGGGTGTGCAAATGACTTTCATGTAGTGCTGGTGCACTCAACACATTGTGCTATTTGGTAATGAGAGACGCAAGATAGTCAAATCAACAACATACAGTGCTGTCTATCCCTCAGCCAGATCCCACCCTGTTGAGGATAAATAATTACCTGCCAGCAGGCCAGTGAAAAAATACTAGCCAGTACAATATTTTTTGAAGGGAGTGGGGAAAAAGAGAAAGGAGACAACAAGGAATTCATGGATAATGTATCATCATGTAGCATACTCTAGGTATATCCACTTGATATAGCGCAGTTTTTGTGGGACACAGCCAGCGCAATTGGCTGCCACATTTCTCCCACAGAATACACGACAGTTAACAGTATATTCTGTAAAGAGCTTTGAGACGTCGTGAAGACGCAATAATTATTATTAACGTCAGAAGGATGTCTCAAAGCACTTCACTGGATATACTGTGAAGTGTAGTAGCTGTGTAATTTGCAGGTGGACGGTAAGGAAAGCGAGACAGAACATCTATTGTGATCAGTTTGCTGCATTGTGTTTATGTACGAATTGATCATGGCTTAGCCTCAAGCAACAGTTAGCCCTGACTGTATTTAGTCATGCGGCCATAACAATTTAACGTTATTGCCCTAAAGTCAATCAGGCAGGACATCAAGTTCAAGCACACTGCAAAGGGAAATAAGGGCTAAAAGATACCAATAAGAGCCAAATCAGCTTGATCAGCTCTCAGGCATTCCTTAAGATTCTGGGTAGATTGGTTCCATCCAGAGAGCACCTCACTTGCAGATCTAGTAGGTCATGGAATTAGTGTGGCTTTCTGTCAAGCGCTCTCAGACTCCGTCCTGCGTGAAGGGCGCTATATAAATGCAAATTGCTGCTGTTGTAGTGTGCAAGCCAACAAAATGTGTTCAGGAGGACGGCTGCAAGACATCCAGTGATTTTTCAAAGACTTATGATTCGGAAGCCTGAACCTCGATAATAGCTTCAAAACCAAACAGAAATAAAAAAAATAATTAAATCCACGACTGTGCGTGGGGCACAACTATGCGCAATTGGCTGCCACGTTTGGCCCACAACATATCCAGTCAATTCACTTTACAGTGTAACCTGTGAAGCGCTTTGAGACGTCTTGAAGACTATGTCAAATGCAAGGATTATTATTAACAGAATACAGAGTTGTGCATGACAACTTGACAGAACAGGTGGTCCAGTCACCAAGGTTTCCCTCTGCCATCATTGAAAACTGTTTTGGTGCTGTGGACTTGCTCTCACGTAGACCTCACCATCAATGGGTCCGTTCTGTGCCTCTTCCTCCCACCGACTTTCCACCAACATTTGCAATAAATGGAGACTTCAACAACTACTTAGCCATTCTCCTTCTTCCTTTACACATATGGCAAGGTGCATCATTGCCATACTTGCTGATGATTCCACTGTCCGAAACAGCCATTTTTTCCCCCTCTCCTGGAGATTCCCATCACTTATGATCAAGAAACCCCTGACACTGATCAACCTGCTGTGAATATTCAGCACTGTTTTTAACCGGGGGGGGGGGGGGGAACAGAAAAGTTTGACCTCTATACTTCTTCCACATTGCACATTTCATCACGTGGTTTCACTATTCAGTTCAACAGGTTTTGTCATCAAACAAGCAATAAATCAATCAACGTGAAAGAATCCTATTTTCCCCTGTAGCAACGCTGAACTGGTTTTAGGTTTAAGCGACACGGACTTTCAATGTCGTGCATCAGCCCTAACCTGATTGAGTCTAAAATATAGGCACATATCTTGGGAGTCCTGTCGCGTATTGGTTAGAGCACTCGCCTGGCAAGCGAGAGGACCCGGGTTTGATTCCCAGGTGCAAAAACATGGGCAAGTTTGCTTACTCCACGGTAAGCAGGAACCTGGTTGTGGGTCAACTGATGGGATCAAATGCAGCGATTATAAATATTATACCAAATACGGGTATTATTACTATTATTATTATTATCCTTATTATTATTATGTCAATGCAATATTATTATATCAAGTACAAGGATTATTATATCAAATGCAGGGACTATTATCATATCAATACAATTATTAGTATTATATCAAATACAAGGATTATTATTATTATTATATCAAATCGAGGGATTATTATTATCCTATCAATACAATTATTAGTATTAAATCAAATACAAGGATTATTATATCAAATGGAGGGATTATTATTACATCAAATGGAGGGATTATTATTATCCTATCAATACAATTATTAGTATTAAATCAAATACAGGGATTATTATTACATCAAATGGAGGGATCATTATTATCATAGCAATAGAATTATTAGTATTAAATCAAATACAAGGATTATTATATCAAATGGAGGGATTATTATTATCCTATCAATACAATTATTAGTATTAAATCAAATACAGGGATTATTATTACATCAAATGGAGGGATCATTAATATGATGATGATGGTGGAGGTGATGGAGGTGGAGATGGAGATGGTTTACCTCATGCTGTAGGCTCCAGCTCCGAGCTCCTGGCCGATGCCGGACAAACTGGCGTCGAAGTCCTGCACCAACCCGGACTCGATCACCTCATCGGGCATCGGCATCTTCAGGGCCCAGGCCATGGTGGGGAGGGAGGGGGGAGTGTGTGGGGGGAGTGTGTGGGGGGGAAACTGGACACAAGAGAGCGAACCCCCCCACTCTCCCACCCCCCACTCCCGCAGTCAAGCGCTCAAACCCGGGGCGAGGCGACTTAACTGAGGCCGAGGCTTCTGTCTGGACCGCTAGGCCTCAACGGCTTTTTTTTGTGTGTGTGTGCGCGCGCGCGTGTGGGAGAGAGAGAGAGAGAGAGAGGGGGAGAGAAAAAAGTCGTTGCCTCAGAGGGAGGAGGAGGAGGTTAAGGAGAGAGAAAAAAAAAGGAAAGAGACAGAGACAGAGAGGGAGAGAGAGAGGGAGAGGGGGAACGTGTGACTGACACAGAGAGAGAGAGAGAGAGACGCGCACACACACAGACTGACGGAGAAAGAAGCGCCAACGCCAAGATGGCGTCCGTCCGTCGCGCGCCTCCTGACAACCTAACCTGCTTGATGGCGAGGCGGGCGGGTGGGCGGGCGGTGCTGGTGCAGCCAAACTTGCTTCGCGCGCGGGGGGGGTGGGGGGGAGGGCGGGGCGGGTTGTAGCCCCTCCCTCCGCCCCGCCCCCCGCCTCGCCCCGCCCCGCCGACCAAACAATAGCCCAATCGCGGCCCAAAAGTAGCCCGAAATACCGCGAGGGTCGGGCCCGGTTCCGTAGCCCAAAGTAGCCCGATGTACCGTTCCACGCGGGCCAGTTATGTAGCCCAAAGTAGCCCAGCGTAGCGTTAGGATGGGCCAATAATGTAGCCCCAAAGTAGCCCAATATAGTACCGCCGTGCTGTAGCTATGGAGCCCAAAGTAGCCCCGTGTATTGCTATCATTATCATTTTATAATTATAATGATAATTGTGCAGCACGAAGATATGTTATAATATTCTTGATATCGCGCGTGTGCTCGTGTGCGTGTGTCTGTGTCAGTGTGCGGTGGGGGGGGGAGGAAATGGTGGGAGTTTGACCGGCCGGACCCTAAACCCACTGGGTCAGAATACCATCTCCGCCAACAATAATAATAAATAATAACACCAATCATAATGATCAAATAATAATAATAATAATAGAGTAAAACTCGCGTAAGTCTGACACCTGTCTCAATCGTGTCGTCCGCCCGAGTTCCGTTCGACAGGAGTTTCTATTTCTAGGGTTGACGGAATTTTTCCGAATTTGCGGAGTTAAGTCACGTGCGGAAAGACGCGCCGGGTCCCGACTGAGGTTTTTGTGAGGTTTTCGACTGTAGGAACTTGCTTTAGGCATAAATTGGCCATTTCTGCCAATCGACAGAAACAAGAACATGTGGGACACCTACAGGCACCGTCCGATCGGTGCATTATCCCTCCTGACTGTTTTTCTGAAGGTTTGCGAATCGTGATTAAATAGTTATATATATATATATATATTAACACACAGATAAACAACTTTTACATACAGATGAGGATATCTGTAGTCTCGGTTCCATTGTCTATCGGGGAGACCCGTGGTTTGATGTTCTTCAAATTAATCTTGACTAAATAATAGTAATTCCTGCATTTGGTAGAGCTGGCCTTTTTACGTTGGGAGGCGGAGAGCCTTAAAGAGCTTCACGGGACATATTGCAAAGTGTAGTGACTGTGTATTTTTGTCGGCAAACTCAGCAGCCAATCTGCACATAGCAATGCCCCACAAACAGCCACGAAATGAGCGATCAATTTTATCTGGGGGATGTTGGCCCAATGCCATAAATCCTGCTACGGCGGTCTTGCAGAAATAAAGTCCAGTTTAGGTCCCTGTAAAGGGAACGTAAACCTGGAACTGTCTTCCTCCCCCAAAAGGCTGTGGACTATGGCTGAATCCATTCATACTTTCAAGACTGAGGTGGGTAGATGTTTGTTAGGTCGGGGTATCAAGGGATACGGAGCAAAGGCGGGTAATTGGAGTTGAAGTACAGATCAGCCACGATCTTATAGAATACCGGAACAGGCTCGAGGGGCTGAATGGCCTCCTCTCGTTCCTCTGATTTCGCCGGGCTGCTAAGCAACGGTATTCGTAAAACACAGAGCACAAATTAGTGAAGACTGAGGATTAAATTGTTTTGGTTTCTTTGCAATAACAAAGCAGCAAAATTCTTGCGTACTGTTAAAATAATACTTTTTTTATTTTTCACATCAGCTTCTATTCACAAATAATTAGTAACAGACCACTATTTGTCATCGGACACTATTTGTAGACCGAGTGGAGTTTTTTTTTCATCGACTTTGATTACTGTTAATTACAACTCTTTGAATTCACACTCGTGATAAAAAAAATTGTTAAAATCCGTAATGGCAGCTGATTAGCTTAATCAACCCTGTTTATGCCAAAGATCTGTGTTTAAAAATACAGTAATATACTATCTTACTTCCAATATTATCTTTACGTACATTTGCAGCAATACAAAACAAGAAAATGGTGGGAGGGGGAGAGAAAGAACGAAATAGAGAGAGAAAGAGAAAGAATGAAAGAAAAAGGCTGAAGGTTTAACACACATTGATTGAACTCTGATAGATTCTCACACCTTCCGGATCTATTTTTCACTCTTTTTAAAAAAAAACTCATTTCAACAGTGTGGAGATCGCACCGAGTTGCAGTTAAGGAACTTTTGCAGCGAATGCGATCTCCACAGACATTGAGGCAATGCAATGTTCTGAAGGGAAAAGTGGGCATCAAGATAAAGATCTTCCTCCTTCCTGTATCAGGTTATATACCTGTAAGTGTGTTTGTGTGTATACACGAATCTACGTCTGTGCGCACACACACACACACACATACACACCAACCTGCATTTACACAGCGCCCTTAATGTGGCCCAGTGTCTTGGAGCGCTTGATGGTGGTGGTGCCTGACACCGAGCCAGGGGGTGTGCGGGAGAAGGTGACCGTAAGTACAGGCGAAGAGGAAGGTCTTCAGTCGTGAACTAAAAGAGGGGAAGGAGGTGGTGAGACGGGGGGGGGGGAAGAGTTCCGAAACTTTGGGGCGTAGTGGCTGAAAGGGCAAACACACACACACACACACACACAGAACGTTCTTTATAATAATAATCCTTACATTTGATATAGTGCCTTTTAAAGTGTCATTGGAGGTCTCAAAGCGCTTCATATTTTAAATACTGTGACACAGATTGAACATGTGTTTTGTGGGCGAAACGCGGCAGCCAATTACGCACAACAGCGTCCCCCACAAACAGTCGTGGATTCAGTGACCAAATATTATTATTTTTTTCCGGAGGGATTATTACTCTCGGAAAAGCGATCCGCCAATCGACTAACAACCGGGTTCCTACTTACTGCCGGGTAAACAGAGGCGCGTGTGTGTGTGTGTGTGTGTGTGTGTAGTTAGTAAGAAAAAATGCCTAAGATTTTGCTCTGACCCACCCGGGAATCGAATCCAGATCCTCTCGGAGTGCTCCAAAGGGTGTTATATAACTGTAAGTTATTGTTGGTGACGTTGTTAGGATTGTTTTTGCTTACGAACGCTCCCCTCGACCCACAGCAGGTTAAAAACAACTGATAGCCTGGCTGGAACAAGTTACTATGATCTTCCTCATGCTTTCCTTTCATATATATTTTAAATAGTAATCTTTGCGGAGTTTTCCTACTTTATCCAACTACTTGTGTACGGATCTTTAGTAAAAAAGCATTAACAGTACTTAGTAAAACCTAACACTGTGTTGACTTACAGTATCTGTGGATTATTGTCCATTCTTCAGTTGCAGAATGCCTCGATTACGTTCAGTCACCGTACGTCGTGTAGGAACGAGGAAATGCGCAGTCTGGCGACCACTTTAGTGTCTCTGGAGCATGGTTTCAAGGGAGTTTACCGGAGCCCCGTGAAACTTGCTCAAATATTCGTTGTAGAGGCTCAGGGTACGTGGCGGCCTCTTTTCATTTGGGTCTTCACGTCCAAAGCATCGAGTCTTTATCACAGAAGTGTCACTTGATCCTATCCCGGCTGAACGCGATCCTCGCGGAATGGTTCAGCGGGACGAAGAGCCAAATCGTGCGCTGAATTCTTCAGCCGAGCTTGCAGATGTAATAATAATAATCCTTGGAATTTGACCGTGCGCTTTTTTATATCACAGCTTCGAGAATCTCAAAGCGCTTCGCAGGACGCGCCGTCAAGTGAATCGACTGCACGGTTTGTGGGCAAAACCGGCAGCCAACTGCGCCCAGCGGCGTCCCCCCAAACAGTCGTGGATTCGGTTATCAAATTATTAAGGGATTATTACCCCCGGGAAAAGTGATCCTCCAATCGACTAACAACCGGGTTCCTGCTCGCTGCTGGGTAAGCAGAGGTGTGTGTGCGCGTGTGGAGTAAGGAAACTTGCCCAACATTTTGCCCTGACCTGAACCGCCCGGGAATCGAGCCCAGGAATCGAATCCGGGTTCCTCTTGCTTGCGAGGCGAGAGGGACTCTGAGCGCTGAGCTACAGGGGGAAACTCCACTCCACTTTAGTATAAAGTATTCAGCACTAACAGTAGCATCTGTGGCAGCACCAGCTCCGAGTGAAGGCGCGCCACAACATTCCCGACGAGGTAAAACACAACGCAACTGCGTGACTATCCCCGTTCTCTGCCCGACTGTCTCATTTACCCGGTTCAGGTTATCCTCGCGGTAACGAAGGGCCCAGAGACGCTGCTTTTTTGGGACGGCTCGACTTGGCCGGACGCACGTTCTTCTGCCGGTCGTGTTCAACCCGTTCCTGTAGAGTCGGTTAACGGGGCCAGCAAACCGGAGTCGTTCTGCTGGAGCCTCTTGACGGTGTTCTTCAACGTCTGCCTCTTGTTGCAGAACCAAACCCTCACGACCTCTCGCTCGTAGTTCAGCTGCTCGGCGATCTGCGTCATCTCCTGTCCCGTGGGGTGGGTGTTCTTCTCGAAGTGCACGTTGAGGGTCTCGAGGGCCTGCGGGGTGAAGGAGGTGCGGCGCTTGCGTTTCTTCGAGGGTTCGCTCCCCACGAACTCCGTCAGGTTCTGTATCCCCGCCCGATGCCTCACCTCAGCCTCCGTCAGCCACCGTTCCAGCACCGGCTTAATCTTCTGCGCACTCTTCGGTGTGATGTCTAATTTCTCAAACCTAGGAGAACGCCAAACAAAAACAACAACAAATTACATTTGTATAGCGCCTTTACTTTCGGCCGATTTCCCCCTCCTCCCCCCTCCCACACACACAAACAATAATAATCCTCGCATTTGTTAACAGAGCGCCTCATCACGTCTTCGAGACGTCTCAAAGCGCTTCACGGGATACACCGTCAAGTGTAGTGACTGTATTGTGTGGGTGAAACGCGGCAGACAATTGCGCCCAGCGACGTCCCCACAAACTATCTCAAAGTTCCTCCTCTTGCTGTTGATGCTCTCGATTTTTCTAACCACACATCTCAAGAGCTGGGCATCAGGTCCGACACCCCAGTTGTCCTTCTGCTCTGCAGCCCACCCCCCCCACCCGACCCCCCCGCGCATCCCCACCCAACCCCACATCAATTGCAAAATTAACAACACGTGATGTTTACAGGGGGCCTTTCACGTCGGGAAGACGTCCCGAGGCGCTGGACAGTCAGGGATCCACACCCGAGCTGGTGGTTGGGATGAGGAGGGGGTGGAGGGCGGATAAGGGGGTAACCACAGGCACGGTTGGTCGAAGAGGAAGGTCTTGAGATGGGTCTTGAAGGAGGCCAGGGAGTGGAGGCGACGCGAGGCGGAGGGACTGGAGATGGAGTTCCAGTGGGGGCGGGGCGGCAGAGAGGCTGAAGTCGATGGTGAATTAAGCCTCCAAAGTAAAACACGTGGAGGTAGGTAGAATATTCCCGGAACAATTCTGCACTCACCTGCACGGGAGTGGGGTAAGTCGGGTTCAGAGTACTGCGCCTTACATGCTTTAAGTACGGTTATTTCACGAGGGCCTGCTCAGTTAGTTACATACCAAGAGGGTGGTGTGTGTTGGCTACCTGCAGATGGCTGACTGACTGTACGCTGGGCCTTCTGCAGCGCTCAGCGCTTGTCCAACCTGGGTCTGGGTCAGACCCAAGGACAGTCGGCGGATCTTGAAGTTCTTCGCAAACTCGCGAATCTCTTCCAGGTTTATCCCATCCACCTCTGTCGGTGCGTTTTGAGGTTCTGGTACGAGAGGGAAAGGAGAGAGAGAGAGAGAGAGGAAAAAAAAAGGTCAGGATTCCATTCCCCGCGCCCCACTCCAGCCAAAAAATAATCCGAACAATAACTCGGTCGCTCGCGACGATCTCCTTGCGTTTGATACACCGCCTCGTCGCGTCTTCGAGATGTCTTCTCCGCCGAATATACGGCAAAGTGCAGTGACTGTGTGTTTCGGATTGATGTACAACTTGGGGGCCACTGCGCGACTGATACAGATCAGACTCGTGCGAGTTGTACTGTGTAATCTGACTGTCCGATACTTACTGCTGACCAGCTGTCCTACGCTGGCCGTGGAGGGAGTGTTGATGGGGGGGCTCAGGGGCTCGCCGGGTGTGGGGGCTGCCACCGGCATCACCACAGCCGCTGATGGTGTTAATGTTGCCGTAGTTGCTGCTGGCGTTACACTGGGCTGTGTGACAGGAGCCGCTGTCTGCGGAGTTTGTACCTGTAATAATAATAATAATAATAATAATTGACTGTCCAGTGAAGGCAAAATGCTGCAGATGCTGGAAATCTGAAATAGAAAAATGAGATGTGAATTTCTCGTGGAATTCCTCAGGGGTTCTGCAAACGGGGACGACACCCGGTGAATAATACTAATCGTTGCATCTCACAGCCCGTTGGGAGGGGTCGGAAACTGGCAAATCGATCCAACCGCAGCCTTTGGAGCTCTGGTTCAGTGTAAGTTTCCTTTTAAGATTTGCGCTTGGGCGACTTCGAAGTTAAGGCTGGATTCAACGGTTTGCCAAACTCTGGACGTCCCCTAACGCTGTATTAAACGGGAGTAAATCTGGAGCCCGGGGTGGGGGTAGGAATGAATTTCTCCCTCGTGGCCAGACTGAGTTTCCGGTCAGTAGAAGGCACGAACACATTACTTATCCCACTTAACCTTTCGGCATCTGTGATGAATTCAGGCAACGCAGCTTAAGCACATCTGGGGCAGCAGCGTCCCCACAAACAGCGGGGGATTGAGTGACCACGTTTTTTGGGGGGGAAAGTGATTTAGCTAACAAGCGGGTTCCTACTTGCTGCCGGGTAAACAGAGGCATGTGTGTATGTGCGTGTGTGTGTGTGTATGTATATGTGTGTCTGTATGCGTATGTGCGTGTGTGTATATTTGCGGGCACGTGTGTGATGGCGTTACCTGTTGTGCCGTCTTCGCGGACGAGGCCGGGACGCCCGGACTGCTGCCGAGGACGGACATGAACGGGTTGCTGATGACGGTGGCGATCACCTGGCCCTGGGAGGTCAGCAGCACCTGTGGAGAGAGGGACTGGACCTGCAGACTCTGGGCCGACAGCGTCACCGGGGTCACTGCCGGGTTCAGCACAAAGGGCAGCGTCCCGATCACCTGGAACACGGGAAGAGCGGACTTGCAGATAGACCCGGAGACCACTTGCCAGGCTTTTTTTTTTTCCCCTTTCCAAGAGGGCGAGCGCGACGACTTAGCGTGGTCCAACTGAGTTGGCGGTCCAACTGCCGGCCCCCGGGTCGCATCCGGTCCCCGAGACCGATTTCACCCCCCACCCACCCACCCCACCTCCATCTCATCTGGCACCCCCACCCGTTCCCCTCCACTTAACCCGTGATGTTTCTGGAAGGGAAAGGCCAAAGGTACCGCCGCCTTAACGGGACCCCGGTATTTACTCGTCTCAAAGTCGGGTGAGCCCCCGGTCCTCGGCGGCCGAAAGGTCGCGATCCCTGATCGTTTCGATCGAGCGCCTGATCGGGCGGCCGAGGATGGGATTGCGCAGCGAAGGGCATCGGGTCGAGGAGCCGGTGCGAGCGGAGCAGGCTCACCTGTCCTTGCGCATTGGTGATGATCTGGTTGGTGATTCCCTGAAGGCCAGGCAGGGCGCTGGCTATAACTGAAGTAGCAGCCAAGGATCCCATCAGCGGAGTCTGACTGCTCAGCTAGGGAAGGGAGAGAAAAACATACCGTTCGTCTCAATAATAACAACAACAGGGCCTTTCACGTCAGCTGGACAGACGGAGTTACGGACCCGAGATGATGGTAATGTAATTGTAATGGGGGCTAAGCGTTAGGCTGTTACATACTTCTTTTCAGTTTCCTGTTGTTTCTTGATAAGTCATTCAAAAACTAACGGTTATTGGGCTGTTAACCTTCCAAGCCAAAGCCCTAACTAACGGGGAGGGGGGGGGGTCCCAGCTTGACAAGCAGCGGGAAAGCTCGGCCAGACAGCGCTCTCTCTCTCTCTCTCTCTCTCAATGGCCAAGTCATGTGTGGGTTTAGCTGGTTAGACTCCAGCAGTTACCCCCAACGCAAACTCTGGGCCCCCCACACATCCCCCCAAGGCTTGGCTCTCACCAACCTGCGCCTAATACTCTCTGGGTCTTTAACGTCCACCTGAACCCGCAGATGGGAACTTCTGTAAAGTAGCGGCTGTGTTCTTTGCAGGTAAACGCAGCAACCAATTTGCACCCAGCGACTTGTTGTTGATGTGAAGCAGCTTGAGCAACGATTCCCCCAATGGATCTCACATTCAACAATGATGAAAGGGTGGCAGAGTTGGGGAAATCCCAGGAGAGCTTCCACAGTCCCTTTGATGAGACAGACTGCTCGATAGGAGGAGTCCTGTAGCTCAGTGGTTGGAGCGCTCCCCCTCGCAAGCGAGAGACATGGGTTTGCCACGCACGTACACACACACGTCTCTGTTTACCAGCAGTAAGTAGGAACCCGGTTGTTAGTCGATTGGCGGATCGCTTTCAGGGTGTAATAATTCCTTTTTAAAAAAATAATAATTTGGTCGCTCAATCCACGGCTGTTTGTGGGGACGCTGCTGTGCGCAATCGGCTGCCGAGTTTCGCCCACAAAACATACAGTCAATTCACTTTACAGTATATTTCCGTGAAGCGTTTTGAGACGTTCTCGAAGACGTGATAAGTCGCTGCGTCAAATGCCAGGATTATTATTATCATTATTATTCATAATAACAACTCACGATTGTGGGGTTCAGGGCCAGTCCTTGTATTGGTTGGATTGAGGTGACCTGGGGTTGCAGCTCAGACTGTTTCGCGGTTACAAGAGGTGTCGCGAGCGACGGGAGAGCGGTCAGGGGCTGGAGTCCGTGTTGAACCTGTGCGGGTTGGAATGCCGACGCTGCTACAAAGAGAATCGGAAACAGGTGCGAGGCGTTTTAGAACCGAAGATCGACTACAGCAGCCACAAACCGTCAGGTGGCAAAGGGGAGGAACGGTTAAGTTTACCGCTGCGTAAAAGGGACACAGCACAACAACAACAACAACAGAGTGCTTGACGGTGGCGGAGTCTGACCCCAAGCCGGTGGAGGGGGAGAGAGAGGGGGGGAAGTGGGGTGACCGTAAGCACGTTCAATTTGTTGTCATTGCGGTTGACGATAATAACCCTCACATTATTTTTTCCCCTCTAACCAACCGAGCGACAAGACTTCACGCGACGTGTAACCTACCCTGTATGTTTGCGAGGGGGAGCTTTAGGATGCCTCCTGCAGTGGTTGGGGTGGTCAGGCCTGACACAGTTGCGAGACTCGCTGTGGGAATGGTCAGCACGAGTCCCTGGTGACCGGTCACTTGACCGGCCATGTTCAGCGGGATGAGGAGAGGTTGGTTTAAGGAGACGGCTCCAGTTGATGTCATCACCACCGCGGCCAGTCCCTCCGCAGCCAAAATCTGAGGGCAGAAATCAGTTTCTAAGTCTACTATTAAGACGATAATCTGACAACAACCCTCGCATTGGACCCGGCGCCCGATCACGCCTTCGAGGCGTCCTCAAAGCGCTTCACAGGATCTGCTGTAAAGTGAATCGACCGTGTATTTTGTGGGCGAAACGCGGCAGCCGACTGCGCACGGCAGCGTCCTCACAAGTGAGCGAGTTACCTGTGGCATCGCGGCTGTTGAGTTGGGCGCAGACAGCTGGGCTTGTGGTTGCTGGCTGGCCTGCACCTCGTTGGCTGGGGTCACGGCGACTGGGACAGCAGCGACTGGTGTTATTGCTTCTGCCTGGCCTGAAAGGAAGTAAAACTGACCGTTTTGTTAAACAGAAATAAATAAAGTGGACGCTTACCATACAATAATAATATCGATAACAACAATAATCCTGGCATTTGACCCGGCGCCTGAGCACATCTTCGAGACGTCTCAAAGCGCTTCACGGGATACACTGTAAAGTGTAGTGACTGTGTAATTATGTGGGCGACTGCCAGCGGGGGGTGTGGGGGGAATTAGTTGGGGGATTGTTGGCCGGGACACTGTGAGAACCTCCCTCCCGCGCGGCAGGGGATCTTTCAGCAATTGGCACTTTTTTGTGGACCGAGGTCTGCAAGGCAAATGCTTAGCATAGAAACAGAAGGAGGCCATTCAGCCCCTCGAGCCTGTCCCGCCATTCCATTAGAACATGGCCTATCTGTACCTCAGGTCCAATTACCCGCCTTTGCCCCGTTCCTCCTTAACACCCCGACCTCACAGACATCTGTCCACCTCGGGCCCCTCGAAAGCGTGAATGACTCCAGCCACGTAAACACAATAGGTCCTCGCTCACCAATAGGACCCGCGCCTTGGTTCTCAGGCGCAGGGTCACTGGCCACGCCTGGGGCTTCCACATTCCCGCTGCTTCCGTGTTTTCCCTCCGACGTGGCTGGCGCGGCGCAGAGGGCATTCCCCTGAAGCCCGGCATCGTCCGCGGCTTTCGACGGCATCTCCTCTTGGCTTGACCGAGTGCCCTGACCAGACATGGCAGCGGGCCCTGCGAACAAATTAACGTCAACCATCTACAGCTCCCGTCGAGTCGAGCGTCTAGTCGTTCACCCACAAAACACACAGTCCAGTCACTTTACAGCTTAATCCTTCGAGACGAGGGGAGGGTGCGACCGTAGGCACAGTCGGTCAAAGAGGGAGGTCTTCACGGCGAGACCTGAAAACAGGGAAGGACGTCCCAGGGAGTCTATTATTATGTGAAGTATATTATATTAATGTATTAAAACAAGGCAAACACATTCAATAGCAATGTACTACTTACCGAGCTGAGAGCAGCCTTAAACACTGGGCAGAATTGAATCTACAAATAGATCCCAGCGTCAGGTTACATTTCCTGGAACAATAGAGAGGGAAGACATTTGCGTGAGCTGTGACTTTTAGCAGAAATGATGCTATTTGAGGCTGGTTTCCGAATGTCTAATTAACATTCTGAACAGCGTATATTCGAGATAAAAGAATGTGAGAGAGAGAGAGAGAGAGAGAGAGAGTGGGAAAGAGAAGCAAAACAAAGAGAAAGAACAAAAGAGGTGTTGAAAATGATTGCTTGCTGAAAGGAAGGAAACAGCACAAAATGTTGACAAGTTGACATGAATGAGGGAGCGTCTGCTCAAGAGCAGCAACTGAGAAAGTTTGGGCGGCGTAATAAGAAAACTGTAAACTTGAGCCACGGACAAATACTGCACCAATAAAGGATATTTGAGAGTGGGAATGTTAATTATCAAATAGGAACCCAGTTGTTAAGTCGACTGGCGGATCGCTTTTCCGGGGCTAACCATTCCTTCCAAAAATAATTGGCCGCCAAGTTTCTCCCGCAAAACACGCAGTCGGTTCGTTCGACAGTGTATCCCGCGAAGCGCTTTGAGGCGTCTCGAAGAAGTGACAATAAAAGGCGCTGCGTCAAACGCCAGGATTATTATTAGGATTGTGATATAATTGTTTGCGTGCCCGTCAAAAGGGTGGAGCGAAACTACCGAGACCCTTGCCAATTTGATCAGCTATCTGTTTGTTTGCTTGCCGAGTTGACGGTCTCACTTGCAAAGTGCCACAAAAGCTCTCGCGGCGGACGGCTTCGGAACTGCTGCCTCGGCGAAGCCACGTCTCACATTTCCCCTTCTCCGCGTCAGTGTTTTCCTTCCGACTTCTCGCCCACGTTCGCAACGTTCATCTGTTCGGCCGAGATTTATTTACTTTGGCTGCCAGAGTCTCCGGGACTTTGCCCGCGAGTTCTCGTCACCAACGCCCTCGAACCCGGCAAAGGCTCTCGTCCGACCGACTCACCGCAACGGATGTTTATTTCGCTCCTTTGCTCATCGTGAGGACGTCTCGAAGCCCTTTACGCTGCCGACTCACCCACTTACCTCCCCCCCCTCTCTCCCCCCACCCGTAGCCCTGCAAACTTGTCCTCCCCAAATAATTAATCGACTTCTCTCTTAAAAGTTTCTTATCGAATCGGCATCCACCGACCGGCCTTTCGGGCAAAATTGTTTGACGGGAGGCAATTTCGAAAGGATCTTCCAACAAAGTTCCACAAGTCTATTAAGACACATGAGTCTGACGGCCCCCTTCCTGGCCTGTTGCTGTGTATACTAGTCTCAGTCTAGTGGATTTTATTACTGCGTCCCAAATAAAAGCGATACGATACTTGCTTTATCCCGTTTCCATTAAACATCCACGTTGAATTTGGAAGCTTTGACCCTGACGCACTTGCAGGATAGTTACCATCAGGTTATTGCCCACAAAAGGTTTAAATGCCTGTCTGGATCCAAATAAATTAAAAGCATCATTTAATATGTAAGAGTAATCTCTTTCAACCCTCTCGTCTGCTGAAATCCACTCAGACGCATAGACTGAATCTGCTCGCAGGAGTGATCTCGCTGCACATTACATCGTGCCTCCAAAAATAGTTATTTTACCATCAAGAAGCCCTTCACCCACGAAAAATATGCAGTCAATTCACTTTACGGTGTAATCTATGAAGGGCTTTGAGACGTCTGGAAGACGTGATCAGGCGCTGTGTCGACTGCGAGGATTATTATCATTAAAGCGAATACTGTATTAACATATGCAGTAAAAGAAAGCATAACATAAATCATTCGCCCACAAAAAATGCAGTCACACTCCACTGTACAGTGTGTCCTGTAAAGCGCTTTGAGACGTCTTCCCGACACAAAATCAAATGCAAATATTATTATTCTTATTCTGCCATACCTTGTGTCACTTTTGGAGGAGTGTGGACAATGTTAACTCACAGAAATCCTTTACGCTATGTCTTTATGAAAGCTCAGAAGGTACAGTTGTTATTATTAGTACGGCAAAATGTTAATGAGGTAAGTTAACTACCTTAGCCCCAGCAAATTACATTAATTACAAGAAATACACATACTTTTATAACTAATACAAGACCCTCGCAACGCTGGCAACATATAATCCTTGTGTCATTAGTGAGGACATATTAATGAATTATGGAAATTAGGTTAGTTTGAAAATAGACTGCGTCCAAAACTACATAACTGATCTCTATACAACTTTGGAGTGTAACGGTTGTTCATTGGGGAGACCTTTTAATGCTTTATGCTAATTTAACCTAATTTACAAATTAAATTAGGTTAATTACAAAATCAAGTTTTTCCAATGGAGGGGTAGGGGGTAAAGCCGATGGCCCTCACTGGAGGGAACGGAACAGTCTTGAAGTCTGGGTTAATCATCGAAAAGGACATTATTTGCCACTACTTGCACTCCCTCATCCCGGTCAGGAACCTGTGCTTGTTAGTCGATCGGCGGGTGGCTTTCCAGCGTTGGTAAACCGCAACCCCCCCACACCACCCAAAAAAAAAAAAGGGGGTCACTCAATCCACGACTGCTTGTGGGGACGTCGCTGGGCGCAAATTGGCGTTTCGCCCGCAAAACGCAGAGTCACTACACTTTACTTTACGTCCCGCGAAGCTCTTTGAGACGTCTCGAAGACGTGGTAAGTGAGGCCCTGCACCCAAAGCAAGATTTATTATATTATTATTATTATTTTTATTATTATTTTACTCTGTGACATCCCTGAAGAACAGATCCGTACTTTATCTCCGCGATGAGGATAAACTCTTCAACGGATCCACCGGGCAATGAACTCTTAACGTTACCAAGACAGGACTCTATAAACAACCTCAAATTAATGCCATTTCAATTCAAGTAACGTCCTTTCCCAAAGGCCCTCAATTCATCGCATTTTTTGGTGGGGGATTAATTTTTTTTTTACTAATCTCACGTCAACTTCCACACAGAGCTGCCTGTCGGCTATCTGTACTTAACACGGAAAAGCCGCACAAGGATTACGATGGCAATAAATGAAATGCAACGAAGAATGAAAACAAAATGACCGTGGGCCTATAATACGTCTCTGTTCACTCCACCCGCTGTGTTGACTAATGTTTCGAGTCGATCAAACGTCATCAACGTGACGGGAATTGAACCAAATGATTATCCGTTGAGTGGGATTATTTCGACGGTGCGAAACCTTTGTATTTTTTCCTCGTCAAATGGCTGTTGAGGATAATACTAATCCTCCCGTCGACGTCTCAAAGCGCTTCACGGGATGCACTGTGAAGTGTAGTGACTGTGCATTTTGAGGGCGAAACGAGGCAGCCAATTGAGGCACAACTGCGCAGAATACAGGATAACAGAGAGAGAGAGAGAGAGAGGGAGGGGGAGAGGTTACCTTCTGCTCGACAGACAGAGAGTCCTCCTGCAATGTCAGACCTCCGGTATCCATTGTACATCGCTGGAGGAGAAGGTGTGATCTGCCTCGCCGCATGCTGGGGAGTCTGCGGGGAGGGTGCGGGGAGGGGGGGAGTGGGGTGGGGAGGGGGCGGGTAGGAGCGGGAGAGGGAGAAAGAAAAACAAAGCAGTCAGTCTAGGTGGTAAAATCCGAGCCCAGAAATATATATAGCAGTCGGTTAGAGCCTTCGCCTCGCGAGCGAGAGGATCGGGGTTCGATTCCCGGGCAAGTCGGGTCGGGGCGAAACCTTAGGCAAGTTTCCTTACTCCCCCCACCCCCCCCCCACCACCACACACACCCACACACACACACGCCTCTGTTTACCCAGCGATAAGTAGGAACCCGGTTGCTCGTCGATTGGCGCATCGCTTTCCTGTGGGTAACAATCCCTTCAAATAAAAATGAATAATAAATAAATAAGTAAATAACGCGGTCACTTCAACCCACGACTGTCTGTGGGGACGTCGCTGAGCGCAACTGGCTGCCGTGTTTCGCCCACAATCACTGCACTTTATCCCGTGATAATAATAATAATAATAATAATCCTTGCATTTGATATAGCGCTTTTCACGTCGGGAGAGGACGTCCCAAAGCGCTTCACAGAACACACTGTAAAGTGAATTGACTGTATATTTGTGGGCGAACGCAGCAGCCAATTGCGCACAGCAATGTCCCACAAACAGTCGTAGATTGAAAATGACCAATTTATTATTGGTTTGGTTTTGGAGGGATTATTATTAGGCTCTGTGTGGAGTAAGGAAACTTGCCCGAGGTTTCACCCTCTGCCTGGAATTGAACTCAGGTCTCTCACTCGCAAAGCGAGTGCTCTAACCACTGAGCCACAGGACTCCACGTAAGCGCTTTGAGACGTCTCGAAGCCACGATCGAGCGATCGTGTCCAATGCGGGGATTATTATTGTTGTTGATGGGCCAAAAGCGACATTCTGGTGCATTTCAGTGGAGCCCGGGAGATAATAATAGCAACAACAACAGTCGTGCATTGAGTGACCGCATTATTATTATTTTTATTTATTACTCTACAATATATATACAGTCAATTCACTTTACAGTGTGTTCTGTGAAGCGCTTTGGGACGTCCTCCCGATGTGAAAAGCGCTATATCAAATGCAAGGATTATTATTATTATTATTACAATCCCAATTGTGGAATAATAAACATGTGAGGCTGTTTAAAAAAATAATTCAAGTTTAAATCAACATTGAAAACCCGCAAATAAAACACTTTGGCTTTGTTTTCAAAGCACCTCGGGTTTTTTTTGCAACTAAAAGAAGATCCACCGGAACCGACCTCTGTGTTAATCCAATTGTAGGATAATAAACATTCAATTTATTTCAAAATAATGATTTAAAGTCAAGCAAAACGTTTTGGTTCTGAAGCTTTTTTTTCCCCTAAACACGCAATTTCCAAAGAAAAGCCACTGAATAAATCAGTCCGGATCGACCTCTGTGTCTCACCCATTTGTAGGTCAATAAATATAACAGTTTTTTTTAAAGAAAACAAAATAATAACTTAAGTTTAAATAAAACCATTTTGTTTGGGTTTAAAATGCCTTTGGTTTCTTAACGCACAATTTCCAAAACACAAACAGAAACAAATCACTAAATAATAAATTTAAACCTAAATCTGCTGATCTAATTGCAGGAATCATAAATATATTATATATATATATATTTAAAAGATTTTTAAAAAAATATTGTCATTGAAACCCACAAATAAAACGTTTTGTGTTTGTTTTTTTAAAACCAGGATAACATATAATGATTTTTTTCCGAAAATAATTTAAATTGAAACGCCCCCAAAAACGTTGGGTTTTGAGCCCTCCACACGACGATGTTTTTCTTAGCGCACAGTTTCAAGAGCTTTAAAATACACTTAAACCCTCCTCTCCGCTGCCGCCCCAACCCTATTATTTTTAAAAAAATTAATATACTTTCTACATTTAAAGTACAATTTTTCTAAAATTATACATTATATATAAATACCCTCAAATATAATAATAAATAGGAGGACAAACAGGAGGACAACCTATAATATAATAATATATTATTGCTCCCTCCCCTCATCTCATTCCCCATATTTAATTAATTTAATGTATATTATAAACTGCTGTGTGCCATTGGCTGCCGTGTCTCGTCCACAAACGTACAGTCAATTCACTCCTCGTCTCGGAGACGTGATACGACGCTGTATCAAATGCGAGGATTATTTATTTAGTATATTAGTATAATATTATTTATTATTATCATGATCAGACATTATATAACCCTGAGCTTGTGGGTCTAATTGGTAATACGGATAAAAAGAGGTCGACAATTTCTAAAAAATAACCTTTTTGTTTATTTGCGTGAAAAAAAACTTAAAAACAATATATAATAACATTTGATAATAATAAACATTGCATAGCATAATATTGGGCTACTTTTGGGGCTACAAATGTACTCGACTGTATTTTAATTTACAGCACCCACACGATAAAAATAACGTCCATGACACACAGAGACACAGACACAGAGACACACACACACACACAGACACACACACACACACACACACACAGACTCCCACACACAGAGATACACAGATACAAACACAAATACACATACACAGAGAGACACACACACACAGATACAGACACACAGAGACAGAGAGAGGAACACAGAGACACACAGAGCTACAGAGAGAGACACACACAGAGACACAGAGAGAGGAACACAGAGACACAGAGAGAGAGACACACACAGAGCTACAGACACAGAGACAGAGAGAGAGACACACACAGAGACACAGAGAGAGGAACACAGAGACACAGAGAGAGAGACACATACAGAGCTACAGACACAGAGACAGAGAGAGAGACACACACAGAGCTACAGACACAGAGACAGAGAGACACACACAGAGACACAGAGAGAGGAACACAGAGACACAGAGAGAGACACACACAGAGCTACAGACACAGAGACAGAGAGAGAGACACACACAGAGCTACAGACACAGAGAGAGAGAGACACACACAGAGCTACAGACACAGAGACAGAGAGACACACACAGAGCTACAGACACAGAGACAGAGAGAGAGACACACACAGAGCTACAGACACAGAGACAGAGAGACACACACAGAGCTACAGACACAGAGACAGAGAGACACACACAGAGCTACAGACACAGAGACAGAGAGACACACACAGAGCTACAGACACAGAGACAGAGAGAGAGACACACACAGAGCTACAGAGAGAAGAGACAGAGACACACACAGAGCTACAGACACAGAGACAGAGAGACACACACAGAGCTACAGACACAGAGACAGAGAGACACACAGAGCTACAGACACAGAGACAGAGAGACACACACAGAGCTACAGAGAGACACAGGGAGACAGAGAGAGAGACAGAGAGAGAGACACAGAGAGACACGGACAGAGACAGAGAGAGGAACACAGAGACACACAGACACACACACAGAGCTACAGAGAGACACAGAGAGAGAGAGAGAGAGAGGGAGACAGAGAGAGGAACACATAGACACACAGACAGAGAGAGACACACACAGAGCTACAGAGAGACACAGAGAGAGAGAGAGAGAGAGAGGGAGACAGAGAGAGGAACACATAGACACACAGACAGAGAGAGAGACACACACAGAGCTACAGAGAGACACGGAGAGAGAGAGACAGAGAGAGGAACACAGAGACACACACAGAGCTACAGAGAGAGAGACAGAGAGACACACACAGAGCTACAGAGAGACACAGAGAGAGAGAGAGACAGAGAGAGGAACACAGAGACAGACAGAGAGAGACACACACAGAGCTACAGAGAGAGACACAGAGCTTCAGAGAGAGAGACAGAGAGAGAGAGAGAGACAGAGAGAGGAACACAGAGACACACAGAGACAGAGAGAGACACACACAGAGCTACAGAGAGAGACACAGAGCTACAGAGAGAGAGAGAGAGAGACACACACAGAGCTACAGAGAGAGAGACAGAGAGAGAGAGAGAGACAGAGAGAGGAACACAGAGACACACAGAGACAGAGAGAGACACACACAGAACTACAGAGAGAGAGACAGAGAGACACAGAGCTACAGAGAGAGAGAGACAGAGAGACACACACCCACAGACAGACCCACTGCCTCCCTTTTGCTGCTGCCATACACTCTGATAAATTACT